ACCATTTAATTTTCCACGATGATCTGAAAGCTCTGGAAGTAATGGCAATAAATTGGGGAGTGAAATTTAACGCTTAAAATGTTACATAAAATGAGCATTAAATTAAAATCAACACACTTCTATCAGCTAGATGACCATGTATTAGAGCAAGTTCAAACAAAGAACCTAGGTCTAAATATCTCAAGTGGACCAGTCATATAGGGAAAATAACAAGCAGACAAGCACAGCAAGCCGTACACAAGGTTTCCTGAACAAAAACCTAGCCTGCAAAGCCATGGTAAGATAGGTATTAGAATATGGCGCTGTCATTTGGGACCCATTTACCTCAGGGAAACAAAGAAGATTGAAAGCATACAGAAAAGAGTGACACGCTTCATCCTGTACGATAACAAATCCAGAGAAACAGGATGTGTAACAGAGATGCTTTCAAAGCTAGAACTTGCACTTCTCTAGGAACGGAGAAAACATCAGATGTTGATTAGGTTCTTTAATGCAAAGAGGTTGAGGGATTGGTGCTGGCTATTGAACCGACAACTACATAACACCAATGAAAAATAAACGTCAAGTAAAGCCAAAAGAATTTAGTGATTTCCAACATTCAGATATTGTGGAAAGACAAGAAACCAAAAATAGCAAATCATGTAAACTGATAAATTATAAGACAGACATGTGGAAGAATTGTTTTGTCCTAAAACAATAGTGCACTTGAATCATCTGGAAGAGAACATCGCATGCATGGCGACAGTTGAGGGTTTCACAACTGGCCTCCAACAGTTGGACTAACCAACCTGATCTCCTTCATGTGCTTGTATCACCTTGATAGGATCCTGCACTCAGGCACGTTGTAATATATATATACAGATGTCCTGAAATATTTCAGGAGGTCCGTAACTATTTATGAAAATTAATTAGTCGTATCATGGAATTATGGAGGTCCTGAAATATTTAAGGATATCCTGGAATCAAATTCTGGATATCCTGAAATAGTTGTGGATCTCTTGAAATAAATGCGGAACTCCATAAATATTTAAGGTGGGAGAGGAGGGGACTGGATCGTAACTCTTGGCTAGCGAAGATGGAGGTTCACACATATTTATGTATTTAAGATTATTGCAAAAGGCATACAATTTAGAAATATTTTTCAACAATTAAATTTTATGTTCTATTTGTTGTCCTCTTTTCCTTGAAAGTGACATCGTTGAATAAGACTAATCACCGAACTTGTACTTTCATGAGCAACACAAGGGCTACCATATGTGGAGGAGGATCTGCTTAAACTTCGGAAAACCTGAGCTCACCATGTTCTTTAAGGGTTCCTGTTGTTTAGCCTTTAGTTTTCTAGGTTGTGTTTTGTTGAATGTTTTTTTTTTGTCTTTTGGTTGTGTTTTGTTGAATGTTTTTTTTTGTCTTTTGGTTGTCTTTGAGCCACGGCTTTGTCAGTTTGTCTTCGACTTATGAGTTTGATATTCCCTGTTTTATCTTCCATCTCTCTGTCAATATGATCTTGACCTTTGAATTGAATTTTATCAATTTTTTAGAATGAAATGATAAATATCATTGATACATTTCAGTGGAAATGTATCAATATAAAAAAACAAAAAGATGTGGTATGATCACCAATGAAACAGCATTCCATCAGAGACCAAATAATGTAGAAGTTAACAAGAGTGGACACGCTGAAATGTCTCGCCTTCTTTACTGACCATTGATTTTATGTTGATAGTCCTAAATATAAAGCTTTACTAAAAGTATCACATAAACTTAATATGATCCAAGAAAATGAGGTCAAGGTCAGATAAACCAAACTGGAAATACATGTACACCTTACAATCATTCAATTTTTTGCGGTCGTATAAAAACTTAACTTTGACCACTGAACCATTAAAATGAGGTCAAGGTCAGATGACAACTGCCAGTTGGACATGTACACCTTACAATCATTCCATACACCAAATATAGTTGACCTATTGCATACAGTATAAGAAAAACAGACCAAAACACAAAAACTTAACTATAACCACTGAACCATGAAAATGAGGTCAACGTCAGATGACACCGTCCTGCCAGTTGGACATATACACCTTACAATCCTTCCATACACCAAATATACTAGACCTATTGCTTATAGTATCCGAGATATGGACTTGACCACGAAAACTTAACCTAGATTAACTGACCTATGAAATGAGGTCGAGGTCAAGTGAAAACTGTCTGACGGCATGAGGACCTTGCAAGGTACGCATATACCAAATATAGTTATCCTATTACTCATAATAAGAGAGAAATTAGTATTACAAAAAATCTTAACTATTTTTTCAAGTAGTCACTGAACCATGAAAATGAAGTCAAGGACAATGGACATGTGACAGACGGAAACTTCATAACATAAGGCATCTATATACAAAGTATGAAGCATCCAGGTATTCCACCTTCTAAAATATAAAGCTTTTAAGAAGTTAGTCAACACCGCCGCCGGATCACTATCCCTATGTCGAGCTTTCTGCAACAAAAGTCGCAGGCTCGACAAAAACTAAACACTGAGCAATGAACTGTCAAAATGAGGTCAAGGTCAAATAAAACCTACCAGACTGACATGTACAATGTAAAATATTTCCATACACCAAATATAGTAGGACCTATTGCATATAATATTAGAAAAAAAATCCAAAACACAAAAACTTAACTTTAACCACTGAACCATGAAAATGAGGTCAAGGTCAGATGACACCTGCCAGTTGGACATGTACACCTTACAATCATGCCATACACCAAATATAGAATACCTATTGCTTAAAGTATCTGATATATGGACTTGACCACAAAAACATAACCTTGTTCACTGATCCATGAAATGAGGTCGAGGTCAGATTAAAACTGTCTGACAGACATGAGGACCTTGCAAGGTACGCACATATTAAATATAGTTATCCTGTTACTCATAATAAGAGAGAAATTAACATTACAAAAAATCTCAACGTTTTTTTCAAGTAGTCACTGAACCATGGAAATGAGGTCAAGGACAATAGACATATGAAAGACGGAAACTTCATAACATAAAGCATCTATATACAAAGTATGAAGCATCCAGGTCTTCCACCTTGGAAAATATAAAGCTTTCAAGAAGTTAGCTAACGCCGCCGGATCACTATCCCTATGATGAGCTTTCTGCGACAAAAGTCGCAGGCTTGACAAAAACTAGAGATCATCGTACTGCCTTCAACAATGAGCAAAACCCATACTACATGGCAAGGTATAAAAAGGTCCCGAAATGACAACTGTAAATTATCTAAAATGAGAAAACTAATATAGACCTACATATGTAACATAACCAAAGATGCAAAAGCATAACAGGTAGGCATTATGTAATCTTGAGCACCACTGAGTTATCATTGTTTTCCATACAGAGCTTCTGTGATAACCAGGCACTCCAACACTAAATACCCATGTTGTCAAAATGTGAAATCTTTGTGTATGTGAATGAGTGTTGTGGATTTGAATCAACAGATGAAATATAAAAATAAAAGTGCTATTCTTTGCCTTTGGGTTTTGTTTAGTGTATGCATGAATTTTCTGTCATGAATTAAAACATTACATCCTTTTTTCACCATAATAATTTATGTCATAATACTAAGGATCAATGTGCTTAACATTTCTGAAGGATTGAAATAATTTGTGAATAACAGGAGATATTGATATGGTACATGTCAATGAGACAGCAAACAACAAGACTAATTCACACAGTGGGAACTAAATATTAAACATTGTATTGTATTAAGAATCAGAAGGCAGGCAATACTATGAATCAGAGGCATATTCATTGTAGTAGGTTCAACTACAATCATTAGTCTTTACTCTTAGATACATGATTTTCTAATTAGTGGTTATTGGCTTTGAACTAGTTTTCAGTAACTGTGAGTACTCTCAGATCTGTACTTCGTGTCTTAAGTATTTTTGTTTTTGTGCTTTGTATTGATCTGATGAGTTAAGCCCTTTTCAACTGATTTCTATAGTTTGTTTTTATGTTGTGCTGTTACACTACTGTTCAGGTTAGGGAAGGGTTGGGCGCCCGCAAACATTTTTAACCCTGCCACATTCTGTATGTACCTGTCCCAAGTCAGGAACCTGTAATTCAGTGGTTGTTTTTAGTTTATTATTTTGAATATAAATCAGGCTATTAGTTTTCTTGTTTTTCTTGTTTTACATTTGTCATTATTGGGCCTTTTACAGCTTGCTATGTAGTTTTGCTCATTGTTGAAGGCCATACTGTGACCAATAGTTGCTAAGTCCTGTGTCATTTGGTCTCTGGTGGAGATTTGTCTCATTGGCACTCTTTTTTTTATAAAGGAAGATAACTCAAATCTTAAATATTACTTTAACAATGAAATAACTGATAATTTTAGAACAGGTACTAGATTCAGGCACCATGCACAATTTTTGTAACTTTCTTGACAAGTATGGTTATACACAAACACATCATTTTGTAACTTGAATATTTGAGTATATATATTTTATTGATAAAGTTCATAAAAAGGATGTATAGAATGTTGTGCTCAATGCACTTTAGTTTTTTTTTTATCTCAAAAGCAGTGATAAAGTGTGGAAAATTGATAAGATCAAGCCAGCCTAGAAGCCGGTGCTAGGGGCCGTCTTAAACTTGCAGTGAGATGAGAGTTTTTTTGCTCCATGTTGATTGCCTCACTGTGACTTTGAGATGAAGAACAGCAATAAATGCATTGTTCCTTTGCTTTTTTTGTGTTTTTTGCTGCGCATGTACTGATTTTGAGTCATGGATGGATACCCCATATCCTTTTTTTTCTATTATAAGGGTTTTGATTGCATGAATGCAATCTATACCCAAAAACTACATGAACAGGACAGGTTAGTGATAGATAAATTAATTCTATAATGTACTGCATTTAGCTAAAATACAACTTCATGTTATCTATTTTTATGAAACCTCTTACACCAAATGCAATTTCTATGAAAGTCAAATACAAAAACAGAAATCATGCTTTATTATTGTTTGAAGATAAAACTATCAAACTTTATCTTCTCACTATATATCTAGGTCAATTTTTCATTTCAGAATGCTCATTGGGCAAGATTCAACAAATATTAATTTCTTGTGGATACAATAATGAGTTTTTGGTGTACTGTAGTTCCCCCTGTACTGACTGTAATACTTGTCATCCTTCTTCTTGTTTCCTTTTCAATCTGTTGGTGTACAGCTGTACACTTCTATCTAAGTCTGCTTTCCTTTTTTGGAATATTTGATAACGTTCACATTTCTTAACATCTGTAATCTCTGGTGATTCTGGCTGAACGAGTCCATCAGATATCTTATAATACACTGTTGTTGTATCTGGTTCACAAATAGCCAAAGTTAAGCTGGAAAATAAATATTTGATTCAATATGTTAACTTTCAGACTTCTTTTTCAAAGATCTCTCTCATATTTATATATTTTTTTTGGTGTTTGTTGGGATTTTCTCTGTTACATGTAGTGTCAACACATACATAACTACAGTAGATACAAGGACACAAAATTACTTGAGACAAGAATCAGGTAAACCTCAATGATGGATAATAAACATAATATTCTTCAAAAACAGGAAAAGTGATATATTCCCCATAAAAATATAAGAATATTTCACATATTCATTTGCCGTTTTCCTGATTTTTTATTAGTGGTTTGCCACTATTGACAATTTCATCAAGTTATTTTATTTAAAATAATTTATTTTATTACATTGGTTGCAATGAATTACATTGATTTCCCAGTGAAATAAACGTGGTTATTTCACTCCTCTGACGTCATACAACAATAGGCGTTGTCAAGACGTCGATAACGTCGGATCAAAACAAATTGTAAATGCGTAGAAAAAGATATAGTTCCTTACGTTTTCTACTTTAATTTCATAAAAAAGCCATTTGCCAATGTAATAAAAAGAATAACTAATCAAAGAATTCAAATATCGAAAAATATTCAACTCGTGACCAAACAACACTGATAATTAACTCATGCACTACGCGCATTCGTGAATTAATGTGTTGTTCGGTCACTCGGTGAATATTTTTCTCTATTTGAATTCTTCGATTAGTTATTCTATAATTATTTTGACAGTTTTAGTTTTATTCGATTGTTTGGTTGCTGTCTCATTGGTGTTACTCAGGCATCCATGATCTTTGTTAATTTATTCTGTATGAGATCCTCATTGGTAGTCAAGGAGGATGTTAATCACCCCTCAAACCCCCTTTCATCATTGGTATACAAAAATATGAGAGAATACTAGAAAATAGAGGATGAATATACAAAAACTTAAATCAAAGGTTTAATACATCACTCAGAGAAAGACACATAACAAAAGGTAAAACATAAACTTGACAACTATTACAATTGATATGTATATGTCAGGTAGTCACAACTGAGCTTTATCCTGCTCTATAAGTTTTTGCTTTGGCATTTCATTGTAATTTGTTTCATATACGGGTAAATTCAGATTTTTTCTATGTTTTGATTAATACAGAAAAATGTGATATTTCATGAGCAGTGTTGCATACACAGGTAAGTTTTGCTAACGTGAATTTTACATTTATCTCACATGAAATCATGTGAAAAATTTCATGTGAAATTCACCTCAAACAAGCTTATACATGAAACTCATGTGAATTTCATGTAAACTTTACAAATCAAAATTGGTATTTTTCATGATTTTAATTAAATTTGAAAATTAAGATGTAATTTGAAATTAGTGAATTTTATGTGAAAAAAATTCATGTGAGTTTCACATGAGATTCATGTGAAACTCGTGTGAAATTACTTTATGTGAGTTTCATGTATAAGCTCGTTTGTGTGAATTTTCCCTGTGTAAATTAGAACTTGGAACTGTTATTCTGATAGCATCATTTCTATGCAGCAATTCATGAAATTGTCCATTGTTTATCAATCTCATTCATTTATGGACATCATAATTTCAGAATTCAGTTTTTCTTGGCAACATCTGATGCTTTTTTCACCTGATCTGGGAAACATTTCAATGCTTTCTCTTTTCCAATGATTAAGTCAAACCTTACCCGTCTGTTTTATAATCTTCCAATTTTATTGTATGAATATACTGCTGAAGTTGCATGGGAGATACCATCTGATGGCTGGATATGGGTAAAACAAGTTGTCTAGGTTCATGTCTGTTTGGATGTCCAGATATAAATGCTTGGTCTGTCTTGTTGTGAATTGTTACATTCCACCATCCTCTTGCTAGGGATAAAAATTAAAAGGTAAAGTTACTTTACATTATCTTTTTATAAAGAAGGAAAAATAGATAACCGACTCTCTGCTACCGTTGGATTGTCTTTTGTTATATTATGCATCAAATATTATTTATCCTTTATTCCATAAGGAACGAATACTGAAATATTTCTTCCGTTTAAAATAATATTGCAGAATATTTCTTCTGTTTGGAACTTATATTATAAACTTTTATATCATTAAAGTATCATTTTCTTTTAAGGCCTTTATTTATATTTTTCATTACTTCCAATACACTTTTTCTTACTCTCTTCATGTATCCCATCCATTTCAGTTGCAGTTTAAACAAGCAGTTCAAACTTATTTATTATATCTACAAAACAAAATACTGTTACTTGGGAAATAGGTCATAGAAACCAAGACATTGATCACTACATCACTGTATGAACAACCATACATGAATGTTTTCATTTCATGTATATATTTGGTTATATATTCTGCCTGTAGGTTATTTTGCAGGTGCAGTTTTAGACTGGGATGCCCCAGGCTACCCCTCTAAAGAAAAAAGGTAATAAAGGTAAAATGACAGCCAATTTTGTATCAAAATAAGGCCCCCTTATTCCTAATTCTTATCCTCAATCCCCCTAAAATCAAATCCTGGATCCGCACAGGTTTTGATATTGCCAACACACTTTTTTCAAGGTATGATTTTTTAATGCAGTCTGCTATTAGGATGTGCATTATATACATAGAAGCATGCCATAAATATACTTGGAGATCTTAATAATTAACTGTAGAATTCCCATTTATTTTCTTATTTATTAGTTGTGCAAGGACTTCCAATTATCTACATAACAATTTAACAAACACTGTTTTGTGAAGTAACTTGGTATTGTGAGGTAAATAATGTGTGCCTCGAAAACATGCTAGTGTGTTAAGCCAACCTCAACACCATACATATAAATTTAGAATCTAATTTTTACATAATGTAAAATAAAAAACGAAAATAAATTTCAAATAAATATTAAGGCCATTAAAGCAAGTCTTTAAGGCTTTGGGACTATTCAAGTCATTAAAAACTGGCAAAATTTGGCTTCTTTTAAAAAATGACATTTTTTCCACACCATAACAACAAATGTATTAGCTACAAACTAATAAGAGAAATGTAATATTCATTGGTTCTTAAATAAATTTTCTTTTTTACTTTAATATAGGTTTGTAGTTCTTTTTATCAATTTTCAGCAATATTTTTTATTGTATTTTTTTGGTTCTATGTCAGTAAATATATCAAATTCTTTCAATTTATGAAATATGTCTATTTACTGTGGATTCATTCGTGGGTACAAATTCACATGGATCTAGGAACAATTGTATTTTCATGGATATTTGTTTTGTGATTTGCATACAAGCCTATATAAAATGTTTACTTCATTGGAGATTTAAATTCATGGTAAATTTGTACCCACAAAACCCATGACAATTGGTATCCCACAAAATCCATGACAATTGGTATCCCACAAAATCCATGACAATTGGTATCCCACAAATAATAATGGATCGCCAGTATACATCTTAATGGATCGCCAGTATACATCTTAATGGATCGCCAGTATACATCTAACATGATTTTTTAATTTCTTACCTTCACATAGATCTAAATATACTCTAGACACAAGACTGGGCTCTTCTTCCATAGCCTTCTTTGTTTGTTTCATCTGAAAAGAAAAGAATAAAAAATTTATTGAAGAAGTCGGAAGTAAACAATATGTGTCCATAGAACACCATGACCAGCTGGCACTATCACATTTCCATGTTCAGTGAACTCTGGAACTTGTTCAAAACACTACTTCGGCATTTAATAATTGTACAGTATCGATGGTTTTTCAAATGAGAGGGTGTTTCTCAGCTACAATCTCATCAAAAGGTGACAGCCCTGAGATGAGATGTGGCCGAATAATATCCTAGAGTTTGAAAAACCATTGATAAGCTGTTTATTGCTATTTTGCCTTAACATCATTCATGTTTACATTGACAAAGTCACATGCACCCTTAGTTTCTAAGGGGCGTAATAATGAATTGACAGTAATTGAAATATACATGTACCAGTACTTATGATTAGAGGCTACTTAATTGGTCCAACTCTAGATTCTAGGATTGGATGTTACAGAGTTATCAATATAATAAAACAGTAAATTAAACCAAAAATGGATGTATGGTTCCTTTCCTCTGAAAATATAATGCTATCTATAGTTAAACTTTTTAAGATACTGGATGTTTAAATAAAAAAACTTTTATAATTTCAGGGCTTTTTATAGCTTACTATGCAGTTTAGGTTTTGCTCATTGTTGAAGACCGGAAATTGACCTATAGTTGATATCTGGTTGAGAGTTGTCATCATAGGCAATCATACCACATCTTCTTATTTTATATAAATATGAATTGACTCATAAAATTGAGAATGGAAATGGGGAATGTGTCAAAGAGACAACAACCCGACCATAGAGCAGACAACAGCCGAAGGCCACCAATGGGTCTTCAATGCAGCGAGAAACTCCCGCACCCGGAGGCGTCCTTCAGCTGGCCTCTAAACAAATATGTATTCTAGTTCAGTGATAATGGACGTCATACTAAACTCCAAATTATACACAAGAAACTAAAATTAAAAATTCGTAAGGGTTCCGTGGAACCCAGTGTCTCGCCTACTTTTGCTGTTAATCGCAGGCTCAACAAAAATAAGGAAAAAAATTAATAAAACATATTCCTCTCTATACTATCTTTTGATTGTAAGTAGCTTCTGTCCAAGTTTGGTAAAAATCCAGGATAGTTTATGAATCTAATAAATGTTTTAAAAACTTAAACTGCAGACTGTATGTAATGTTAACTGGAAGAAAAACTAAGTCCATTTATAAGTAAAATACGGAAAAAATGGAACAAAATTTTACCAAAATTTCCTTCTAGATACTAGCTTTTGATCATAAACAAGCTTCTGTCCAAGTTTGGTACAAATCCAAGATAGTTTAAGAAAGTTGTTAAAATTTTTAAAAACTTTAACCACAGAGTGAATGTAATGTTAACTGGCAGAAAAACTAAGTCCATTTATAAGTAAAATACGGAAAAAATGGAATTTTTTTTTACAAAATTTACTTCTGGATACTATCTTATGATCATAAACAAGCTTCTGTCCAAGTTTGGTAGAAATCAAGGATAGTTTAAGGAAGTTATTAAAATTTGAAAAACTTTAACCAACAGAGTGAATGTAATGTTTCCTGGCAGAAAAACTAAGTCCATTTATAAGTAAAATACGGAAAAAATGGAATTTGTTTTTACAAAATTTACTTTTGAATATTATCTTATGATCATAAGGGGACGACCATTTGATATTCTGGGGGGGGGCCAGGAGGATTTGTTTTGGATCGGTTATTTATTTTTGTAAACTAAGAGGACAGATTATCTATTTTCTGCACTATTGAAGCAAGATTTTTCATTTTCATTAAAGCAAGGGACTGATTATTTATTTTCAAAACTATATTTATAATATTCGAAAACATACAATTTTTAAATTATTTGTTTATTATAAATAATTCATGTATAGTCAAGTCATTATGTACCATTTAATCAGAATTAATTTATATTATCCTCTGCAGAAATGAATCTTCTATATTCCCCAATGCATATACACGTATTGCATACATACACAGTATTAAAGTTTGGTTGTAACTAAGGCTCTTTTAAAAGTATTGGCAAACATGTTTCGTCGAGCGGAGCGAGGCAAAATTTTTTTTTAAGGGTTTTTGAACCGCTGAAGGCCAAAGAAGCTATAGAACAAATGATGCAAAATCATGCCTTCTGGGTGTTCCCCAGACCCTTTCTTAAACTGAAAATGTAAGTTCTGTTTTAATAATTTTATGACAATATTTTGGTCTCAAAGCAAAATCACATTATAGATTCAGTGTAAGACTTAAGTTTCTAGGAACAACATCAAAAGACAAATATGCATGATAAAGCAAAAATGTAATTCCCATAGTTAAGTCTGTGGCTGCTGTGTTTATTTAAACTCATGATCAAGTTAATTATAAAATTACTAAATTACAAAATGAATGCAACACTAACAGAATACAGAAGGGCAATCAATGAACAAAAGACAAATAAATAAGAAACATTGATCCCGAAAAATCAGGGGCTACGTCTGCGGGAGAACAGAACTTGCTTCTTGCAGGGCACTCACGGTGAACACAATTTGAAATTTCCTACATGAGGCATTTGTCTCAATGTAGTTACGGCCCTGATTTAATAAAAGTGAGGTAAGTGTTCCTGAGACAATTAACCTCAAGTTAAATGAAACCAATTTTCTGACATTTCAAGTATATTCAAATAATATTTATACTTTTATTATTAAAAGATATGGGAAGTGTTTCCCGATTTTTTTTTGGGAAAAAAGATGAATTTATGAAGAATCTGGTGCCATCTCATACTTTCGATTAGACCTGCTGAGTTATTTATTTTCAATACATTGCAAGTCAGGTAATTTATTTTCAAACTACCACAGAACAAACCATTTATTTTTGTGATTATCAAGGCTGAGTTATTTGTTTTCAAAATCCTCCTGCCCCCCCCCCCCCAGAATATCAAATGGTCGTCCCCTAAACAAGCTTCTGTCCAAGTTTGGTAGAAATTTCGGATAGTTTGAGAAAGTTATTAAAATTTGAAAAACTTTAACCACAGAGTGAATGTAATGTTTCCTGGCAGAAAAACTAAGTCCATTTTTAAGTAAAATACGGAAAAAATGGAATTCTTTTTTTACAAAATTTACTTTTGAATATTATCTTATGATCATAAACAAGCTTCTGTCCAAGTTTGGTAGAAATCCAGGATAGTTTGAGAAAGTTATTAAAATTTCAAAAACTTTAACCACAGAGTGAATATTTGTGGACGCCGCTGACTCCGACGGAATGTAGGATCGCTATGTCTCGCTTTTTCGACAAAAGTCGAAGGCTCGACAAAAACGATACAAGACTAACAAAGGCCAGAGGCTCCTGACTTGGGACAGGCACAAAAATGCGGCGGGGTCAAACATGTTTTTTGAGATCTCAACCCTCCCCCTATACCTCTAGCCAATGTAGAAAAAACAAACGTACAACAGTACGCACAGTAAAACTCAGTTTAAGAGAAGTCTGAGTCCGATGTCAGAATAGGAAACAAAAGAAAATAAACAAAATGACAATAATACATAAATAACAACAGACTACTAGCAGTTACTGACATGCCAGCTCCAGACCTCAATTAAACTGATTGAAAGATTATGTCTTCATCATATGAATATCAGGCACAATCCCTCCTGTTAGGAGTTTAGTATTATACTGTCATAAAATATATGAGAAGAACATAACCCGTGACTTGCCAACAACTGGTTTTAGAATAAATATGTTTAATTCCGATGCAAAGACCCTATGAGTGAATCAATATTAAAGCCAAAATATGCATAAGTGAATCAATATTAAAGCCAAAATATGCAATCTTTAATGACCTGACATGTATGAATAAAATTTTATAACAGCTAATCATTTCTTTTTCAGGATGAATTGAGTTTGTCCACTGGGATAAGGATCACAAGATTCTTGATGTTAGAGGGTGGTGCTTCTGAGAACTGAGAATAAGAAGGTGTTATTTCGACACAAAATTGGCCTTAATTTCACTTTTATTACATTTTAAAAGAAAATTAAGGGGGTGGGGGCAAATGACTGCCTGGTAAATACAAATACTATAATGGAATGATAAAAATAATAAATGAAACATTAGTAATGCAAATCGTCTCATTTGTCTTTTCCGACTCAAGGTGTAATACCACCAAATCATAGTATGTTTCATCCGGTTGCATACGAAAAAGGGTAAAAAAAAAATATTCCCTTAATTTGACAATTGTAGGAAATAAATCCTACATTTCATTGCAGTAAAAAAATTCTGAGTCATAAACATACATCTTGGGTGTTTCAAAGCACCATTCTTTTTTTATTTGGTGTTTCTATAAAACATTTTGGTAACTTGAGGTTACATGGTTACTAAAGCTTGTAAACAGGAATTTAAAGAAAGGGGTGGAAATTTGATTGGTTAACTTCCAGTGATGGTTATTATCTTGTATGCAATGAAATGTTATGTGAAATTTTGTCTGTAGTACTGGACAGGATAAAACTTTACTCATGCCAAGTATTTCTTTATTTGAAGCAAAGATAAATTCTTCACAATTTTTTGAAAAGTGCAAATTTAACAAAGACTAATAGGGGAAAAACAATGGTGGTATTACGGTACTCCTATTATGGGAAGCTGCACATGCACCTTTGACCAAGTATGTAATCTCATTTGTTAAAATTTCATGCTATTTCAGTGAAATATTGCAAAAATGAAATATTCTGAGTGGATTGAGTCTCAAAAACACATTTTAGGAGAAAATTGCCTTGAAATAGGACTCTACCATGAATATTAGTAGATAGAGCAAGCCATACTCAGTGTTTTGGGGAGCTTTTTCTCCTTATTTCTTATATTTTGCTATAATAGAAAACTTTTTCCTAAGTAATTCTTTAATACATATACAGTTATAGCTAAATGAAATTATTTTTGAAGCAATAACAACAAATTATTCTCTAAAAGGGAAGCATTTTTGTCCCTCTCTGGAGCACGGCGTAAATTTAAGTTTTAAGTTATAAGGACTTATTGAAACCTCCATGGAGCCAGTAAACTTTTATATGGATAGTTCATTCAGCTTGAATACTTCAATTGCTCATTTATTATCACATTTCTTGCATAGATGTGTGAAAGTTACCCCAAAATTTTGATTTATTGGCCTAAAAAGTTGAAATTTTGAGGAAAATGAGAGGTATAAATGGACAAAAAGAGACCTTATAATGAAGACAAAGAGGTCCATTAGTGGTATTTATCATCCTAGAGTCATCTTTTGTATCATAATCAACTGTTTGTAGGCAGATGAGAAATATTTGATCATTTATTGGTCCACACTATATTCTATCATGATGCGGCTTGGTTTGGATTTTTCGAAGAAATTTTGCTCGAATCGCTGTAGATGTCATCTTACATTATACTAGATTTTTCTCAAACTATTGAACTGATTATGACAAAACTTTACAGTAATGCTTGAAATAACCAATATTACAAAGGAAAAAAATCAAATTCAGTTTATTCAACAAAAAAGTCTTTTTTATGTGTAATACCACCAAATCGTAGTACGTCACATCCGGTTGCATAGGAACAAGTAGTACTGGACAGGATAAAACTTTACTCATGCCAAGTATTTCTTTATTTGAAACAAAGATAAATTCTGCACAATTTTTTGAAAAGTGCAAATTTAACAAAGACTAATAGGGGAAAAATAATGGTGGTATTACACCTTAAGCAGAACTGTGTTGTCTCCTTTTTCTTTGACCAGACTGTCTTGTTTTTTTATTGTGGTGTGTCTTTTTACCCTTATATACTAAAAAGAAAAAAATGTCAAAAAGATTTTGTGCTTCAGAATGATATAAAGGCCAAATGAATATAATTTTTTTTAGGCACTGGCTACAATTCCCTGCAAAATAACAATAAGAAATAATTATTGTTCCTTCAAAGACTAATTACCGAAATGTATTTCGGGACAGGGACTGGATTTCATATGGAAATTGCAGGTAACAATAATACAATTTTTTATTGTTACTTGCAGTTATTGTTACCTGTAAAATGTTACATAAAATTTACAAATGATGTCTTTTTTGTGTGTAGCATCTTGATACTTTCTACTGTCTTCATATCATTGACCTGTATAGTTGTTTTACATATATTCAAACAAATTTATATGAATAGAAAATTATTTATTGAACATAGAAATGATAAATTGAAACCACAATTATGCATATTTAGAATTCTTTTAGCTTTTTATTTTGGTGGCTCTACCGGCACATTCAGTAAACTTTAGGCTTAGGTAGCATTTTGAGGCCAACATATTTCAGGTATTACCACCTCAGACACCTGTCACAAACTATAGATCCATGTCTATACTGCAGCAGACCGAACAGCTATTTTTTTGGGTCCTTTTAAATCATATACACACTGTAGCCCTCCAACTGTTTCGTTTCTTATACATCCTTTGTTTTCAAATATTCTGCTTTGAGCGTTCCTGGAGAAGGTAAATCCAGAAAAGCACTTCAGGAGCATGAAATTTATATAACATGTTGTTTTCATTTTTTCCCATTCTGCTATATCCTTCAGCCATATCTTGTTCTTTTACAAGAACTTCTTCTGTATAACTGCAAAAAAGTTTGCATCTTGGAGCCGTTGAAGTATCATTAAGATCTTGAAAAGATATAAACTTTTCACCCACCACAAATTGGACATCTTGCTCATTCTTATCTGTACTTAAAAAAGTGAGTTGTTTTAATCAACCCCCTATGGTAAAAGTAAACATCATATTGGTCAATACATGTACATCTGGAAGTTTAATCATGTAATTGTTTAAATATTTCACAGATTGTTCGCAAATCAATACATTTTTAGATGGGTGCCTGTCTGAATATATTTATAAGGTAACATAAAAAATGTACCTGCAATTGGTATGAAATAGGGTCCCTGTTTCGATATACATCATGTCAATTAACCATTATTGATTTTTATTGTTACTTTTTGCGGGTAATCATAGCCAGCTGGCACCACCGTTTCCCGAGAACTCACAAAACCTCAATATGAACCGGAGAACTGATAGATATTACCCCAAAACTCTATTTGATATAGTATTTTACTGCTTTTATAGTTAATAAAGACTATAATTTTGGCTCAAATATATATATATCACTTTTACTCAATAAATGTACAATTAGACTTCAGGAATTTGTTAGAGAACGGAAATGAAAATTTTTGCAATTTTTCTATTTATAAAGTGGCATAACTCTAGAACGTTTAAAGTGATGCCACCAAAATTCAAACTTGATCTGTGTTTTGTGGCAATAAGCATTGTGTATAAGTTTGATCACATTTGGTTGAGGCAAACTTAAGTTAGAGAACTGAAACCAATTTTGGGACGTACGTACGTATGGACAGACGGACAAGGGTAAAACTTAATGCCTCCTCTGCTTCAGCAGGGGCATAAGAATATATAAAAGTACTTAATCATTTTATTCAAATTTGAAGATTTTCAAATAATGTATATGAATCAGAGATATCAAGGAATTGTATATTTAAAAGGAATGGAAACGCGGCCGACTTCAAAGAAAATTGTATGATGCATCTCTGACTTGGGTGGTGTGTTAATTACATCCCGTCGCTCTAACCGGCTCATTTCTTATCTGGCAGTAGTTATCGAACTTGGTCATTTAATCATGAAATGAAACAAGGAATTGTCTATTTAGATATACAATTCCTTAAATGAAATAAACAAAAAATACAACCTTAAACAAAGTTACTTCTGAAAAACATTTTTTTTCTTGTACCTCCTCTTGATATTTCACAAAGGTATGCAATAATTAAGATCAATTACTAGATGAAATCTGACATAATACGAGTTTTTAAAAAGATTTAAGGTAAATCAAAAAGTTAAAAAATAACTTTTCAATTTTGGAATATGACTGGTATAGAAAAGTATAAAGGAAGAAGTACGTGAACAGATGTAGTATTTTGTCTATATAAAAGAACTTAGATAATAGGTGTTATAATAAACACCGGTATGGGATATCCAATTTGCATGTATAATCTATCATGTATCATTGATAAGCTAATTTTTGTCGTATATATATTTAAGCAGGAACAGTGTATACTAACTATAGGCAGTCCCTGATTTAAGGTGTCAAAAAGAAATCACGCCGAGCTCACCTGTTAATAAATGCTAAATTATGCCGTGGTGCAATAATTTTTTTAATTAGAAACAGTTAAAACTTTCCGACATTCGCATATTATTTATTTTAACACCGAAGGAATATTTTGCGACCTCTTGACTACTGCTCTTCTAGAAAAAGGAAGGAACTTTTTTGCTTTTAAGCTTGTGGTAATTTGCTGCAAAGCTTAATAATGGGAAACTGCAATACCAAACAACGATTAAGTATAAAAATGACAAAAAAATAAATGATTAAAATCGTGTATAAAACCGCAAAATCAATCCCATTCGGAAGTCTTATATACATTTCTTGCCTGTAATTTCTGACTTCGTCGGTATGGAACTTGACTGATCAAAATGGCGTCAATGTGAACTATAAACATGGGATTTTGAAAAATCATAGCAAATTCGTTTTTATCACCATTTTCATAAAACCAACACTATGTGATAGAAAAAAGACTTAGCTTTTAAATTGTATGTCAATGTCACATCTATTTCAAGTAGTTATTTAACCCTTACAAGAATACGGCGTGTTGGTGTATTAATTGACGCACTACTTAAAATTTTCAACATGATTCGCAATTTATACCAAACTGTAGGAAAATATTCCTTCTTTAAAATGATATCTCATTTTCTCACTTTATTTTTTCTAATTTCCAATATTTAGAAGAAATAGTATTACACTCCCAGATTGAAAGACGTGTTTTGACAGAATAATGAAATTCAAAACTGAAATTTCGAAAAATCGTAGAAAACTCAGAAATGTTACCAGAAACTTAAAAAAATGGCAATATGCTAGAATAAGGTTTCAGCTTCATAATGATATCAACTATTTTGTTTTGCACTTCGTAGTTGCCGAGCTTTTAGAAAAAAAATCAAAACACTGTATTTTTTGTTTTGTAATCCGGATGAAACTCACTCAAGTTTCAAGACCGAGGTCTATTTTAATAAGAATTTTCATAATAAAATATTACAAACGTATGTTCAATGAGGCATTAAAATGATACCTAAGGCCTTAACTATTGGAATGGAAGTTTATTCTTGCTTTTGGGTTTCTCTCTCGTTTATATCTTCTCAAGCAAGATGACCCCGTGAATTTAAAAGACCGATCTATATGACAGGAAATGGACCACCGTCATGATTCTTTATATTATTCATCATACTTCCGACCGAGTCAGACATGGATTATAGCTCTGCGGGTGCTCTGCGGGTATCCCGATTGATCTCGAGCCGCATTTCCATTCCTTTTAAATATACAATTCCTTGGAGACATATATACACATATGTCTCTGCATGTATTCTTATTTCAAATAAATTTAACCATGTGGTGATATTTTTTAACTAATTTTCTTACCAATAATATGTTTTCTTTTTTATTTGTTATGAAAATGACAAACTCAGAGTAATGCTTATTGGAATTCGTAGTTTATACATGTGTTTAACTGTTTTGGCTGTCCAATCCAATAAATATTGGAACGCACTAAGAGAAGTTATCTCCCCCTTGCAAACTGTAAACCACTTTTAAAGTTTTTTAACTTCTTCTCACCATATGAAAATTATTTACAGATATCTACGGTTTAATTATATTGTCAAATTTACTTAAAACTACAAATGACCGAAAGAGTGGAACATAAACTTTTCTAAACGTGCATTATTGATGGGGTAAATTCAGTAAATAAATATACGTCATCAGGGACCGCCCATTTGGGGGAGAGCTTTCTGTATAAAACTGAAGTCATGTGCTCTTCTGATTGGTAGATAATGTTTGTAATAAATATTTTTTGATAGATGGATAAAAACTAGAGTTGAAAAAAAAAAAAAAATAAATGCTGAATGTACTAAATTTTTTTACTACAGGGTTGAAAAGTAATGGGGGTCAGTGAAGGAATTAAGTGCGAATCTACAGTGTTTGTAAACAAGGCCATGTGAATGCCCAAAAATGCCGCATGACCCTATGTTTTTATTGTTGCAAATGATAGGGCTACATTTGTACTTTCATGAATGATATATGAATTTTTCTAATTTCTAAAGGTAAATCAGGTATAAATTTAATTCAAGACATAGATTAGCATTACAGTCAATGGGAGATTTTTTACTGAATTTACCCCTATAGGAAAATATGCATTCTGTCACTGTACTTGTCCAAGGCCACACAATAATCACAAAACTTATTTCCTGTGTATATTAATGTAATGGAAGCATTTTGGAACCATTTGAAGTTGTTTTTTACACAAATTTCTATGTTTAACTCGGCTATCCAAGATGCACTGAGTGTACTGTGAGAGGAAGCATGGGGTATATGGTAAAAATCAGTTTTTGTGTCCAGATTGAAAGAAATAATAGAAATTACACTTGAGAGTTATGATATCAATGAAAGGCATAAATATTCCCCACATTTTACAACACATTTTGCACATATTTCTCCTCATTATGTGTAAAATCATATGGAAAATCAGAATTACCTCCCTTTGACAGTGTATTTTTTTTAGCTGTGTTTCACCATGTTAAGTTGTAGAACAAGTTGTAAATAAGCACTTTTCAAGTATTTTAACACTTGAATAATCTGACCGCATGAAGATATTCATTTATTTTTACATAACGCATTGCGTTTCTTTATTTAAAAAAAATTGTAGATAACTTTTATGATTACATGCCCATCATCTATGAAACTAGTGTTGAAATGTTTGTAATTGGATTACTATGTTAAATAACTGCTTTTAAATATTCTAAATTGTTGCTTTAATCTTCCAAATGCAAAGTTTGGTCATACCCAGTCTTATTTTTTCATATTTGGCACTTTTTTCTACTTCAGTTTTGTCTGTCTAGTTTTGGCGAAGAAACCATCCTGATGTTGGGGTAACAGGAATTTCTGCAGAGTGATTGTCAATGACATTTTGTGAACTTTACAAGTAATTAAAACACAAATTTAGTAAAATGAAACATAATTGTTTGTTTTTTTTGTATGAAACTGCTTAAAAAAGCCTTTGAAAAGTGTTTTTGTGGTCTTTTCAGGGTATTTAATCAAAAACTTCCATATAAGGCAAAATTTAACTAAGAGTACATCAAGACTTTAGTTTCTAGATGTACTTGCAATACTGGTCAAAGCAAACACAGAAAACAATTCATATTTATTAAGCATAGTATTTTACACCATTCTTTTACAAACAGTCAATATGCAACTTTATATACCAAATATACATTGGCCGCAGTATGGGCTGTAGTATAAATTTTCCTCTATCTTTACAAGTTCAGCATTTATGAATGTTGTATTGAAACTGGAACTTTAAAATTGGATATATTACATGATTATTACAAAAAAAGAGGGAAAAGCTACTAAAAAGTCCCTTATAGGGGTAAATTCAGTAAATAAATATACGTCATCAGGGACCGCCCATTTGGGGGAGAGCTTTCTGTATAAAACTGAAGTCATGTGCTCTTCTGATTGGTAGATAATGTTTGTAATAAATATTTTTTGATAGATGGATAAAAACTAGAGTTGAAAAAAAAAAAAAAATAAATGCTGAATGTACTAAATTTTTTTACTACAGGGTTGAAAAGTAATGGGGGTCAGTGAAGGAATTAAGTGCGAATCTACAGTGTTTGTAAACAAGGCCATGTGAATGCCCAAAAATGCCGCATGACCCTATGTTTTTATTGTTGCAAATGATAGGGCTACATTTGTACTTTCATGAATGATATATGAATTTTTCTAATTTCTAAAGGTAAATCAGGTATAAATTTAATTCAAGACATAGATTAGCATTACAGTCAATGGGAGATTTTTTACTGAATTTACCCCTATAGCAGCAGCATTTGCCATTCTCTTGTCCGAGTTATTAACAGCAAAAGGGGTTTTCCAAAAATTTAACTCTCGCAAAATCACGAACAGAGCATACAACCAATCAACGGCCTTTAATCTATCGTCAATTCTATTTTTGGACTTTCACTTTACTAAAAATAAACAAAACGTTGGTTACAACCCAATTGTGCAATATCCAGATATAAAAACCGATAAATGTATTACACTGACATTTTAAGGCCATTTTGGCCATTGCCTTCGCATCGAGTGATTCACTATTAAAGAACCAAATGGAGACTTTAACATTGTCAGCGAAAGATTGCGCTTTTAGGTCATTTCAATTCCAATTCCAGCCAAGTCAATTCCAAGACCAAGTGCAGTGTCAGCAAAATTTAACTCCCGAAAATCGAAGAACACAAAACACAATTACAGAAGGGGAGGCGAAGATGGCAGAAGGATCTAAAGAGCAGGAGTTGGTTAAAACCAAGTTAAGAGTAAGTGACAGTAAACACGATAAAAATGTAAACAAAGACAAAAGTGATCAACAATCCGACAACAATGATCCCAATGAAAAACCTAAAAAGAAGAAGAAATGGAAAAAACTACAACCATCTGAAATTGGATTTAACATTTCACTGTTTCCAAGACCAGTCCGAGATAACTGTGAAAATAACTGGGGTGCTGATGCTTTGTGGGCTAAAATTGAGAAAGAATGTGAAACTGTTGAAAAAATTATTGAACCATATCAGAATCTTATTGAATTTGAAGGAAACACTTCTAAAGATAAAAGATACATTCGAGTAGATAGGGACAGGAAAGTTATAAAAGCACATAAACAAGTAAAAACGAAATATTGCAGAAGTGTTCTGAACAATAAAGGACGCAAAGCAATATATGTGAATCATAGAGTGTATAAAATGATGGACCTTGACATTCAAAGACTATGTTATATGCCTAGTCCAAAGAAAGCAAAAAATATGCTTAAACGTGACATTGCTAGAGGAAAAGACAATTATTCTATAAACCCATCAACAAATAAACCACACCAACCAAATCGAACATACCGCCCTACTCCAGTTCAGTGTCTGGCACATGCTATTCACAAAGACAATTTACCATCTGATATTGATGCTGCATTAGCTAATTTGTTAATGAACTTACAGCATAGAGACTTGACACCAGAGGATTACGATATGTTATTGCGTCTTGATGAAGCTCGTGTTAAACCTAAAACTATGTCTGAAGATAAACTAAGCACATTTAAAACTGAAACAGTTGAGAGCAATGATGAACTTGAAGTGTGCCCAATCTGCATGGATTTGTATGAAAAAGGACAAATTAAGAAATTTTTACCTTGTCAACATGCATTCCACATAGACTGTATTGATTCATGGTTAAAAAACTCTTCCATGAACTGTCCTATTGACAATTTACCTATTGAGTCATGACAAATGGATGCTTAGGATTTTTTTGACTTGATAAATTTTGTTAATATTCTAAAGGATTTGAGCTATTCCTGAACTTATATTGATTCTTGGAAACAGTTTTCCCCCAGAATAATATAAATAGTGGATAAAGCATAACTGAATCTAGAATTAAGGAAAAAGTTTGAATTTTAAGACATAACATTTTTTAAATTGAGGGTTGATATAAAAAATGTTATTCTGTAGCTTTAAAATTGATTTGAAAATCATTGAATCTTGGACTGTAATTTTTCTGTATAAGTTTGATGGAAAAGTCTTTAAGGTTGTATTTTGTAATTTAACTTGCTATCATGCAATTTATTATTATGTAAGAATCTGTATAAATCTGGAAGAAATCAATAATTCAAATGTTTCTATAAGCATAGGATTTTGGCTCAAATCCAATATTTCAGATTGTTATTTATTAAAAAATAATATAAATTTTGTGTTTGATGTGGCAAGCCAATTATTTTTTATCAAAGTTTATTATCAATGGAGAAGTACTTTTTTGATTGATTGTAGTTAATGTATCTCAATTGGCAGTAAAACAAAACCTATTATTCAGATAAATGATGTAGGTAGTTTTCTCTACTGTTGACCACCTCATTGCTGATGTTTAGCATAAACTGTAGAAAAATAGCACATCTCTATATTTGTACCCAACAGATTTATATAAGATTACAGATTTTTGACCTGGATACCAGGTGTGCACTCTAAATATATCATGAAAATGGGATTTCTATTTGGTTAACAGCACTCTTTTGTGATATTGAGGAGAGGGTGACATGGGGTGCTCATTTCTCAAATCAATTTTATGCCCCACCTACATTAGTAGTAGGGATTATGTTTTCTGGTCTGTGCATCTGTTTGTTCGTCCATTCGTCCGTCCGTCCGTCTGTCCCGCTTCAGGTTAAAGTTTTTGGTCAAGATAGTTTTTGCTGAAGTTGAAGTCCAATCAACTTGAAACTTAGTACACATGTTCCCTATGATATGATCTTTCTAATTTTAATGCCAAATTAGAGTTTTTACCCCAATTTCACGGTCCACTGATCATAGAAAATGGTATTGCGAATGGGGCATCTGTGTACTATGGACACATTCTTGTTTTTATATGACTGCAAAAAAATTTTTGGGATCGTATAATGGTATGATGTCGTCGTCGTCTGCGTCATCTGCGTCGTCTTTGTCGTCTGCGGCATCTGCGTCGTCCGAAGACACATTGGTTTCCGGACAATAACTTTAGTTTGAGTTAATGGATCTCTATGAAATTTTTTAAGAAGGTTCAATACCACTAAAAGAAATTTGGGATTGATTTTGGGGATGATGGTCCCAACCGTTTAGGAATTAGGGGCCCAAAACAAACATTTTTCTAGTTTCAGGATAATAACTTGTGTATAAGTATTTCGATTGCTCTGAAATTATACAACAATGTTTAATACCACAAGTAGAAGGTTGGGATTCATATTAGGGGTTATAGGGCAAACAGTATAGGAATAAAGGGCCTAAAAAGGGCCAAAAACAACAATTTTTGTAGTTTCTGGACAATAACTTGTGTGTAAGTGTATGGATCTCTCTGATATTGTGCCATAAGGTTCCATATCACAAAGGGAAGGCTTGGATTGAGTTTGGGGGTAATTGCCTCAAACATGTAGGAATTAGGGGCCAAAAAAGGGCCAAAACATGCATTATTCTAGTTTCCAAACAAAAACTTGTGTTAGATGTGTATGGATCTCTCTGAAATTGTACTACAAGGTTCCATACTACAAAGGAAAGAATTTGATCGAGTCTTGGGGTAATTGCTCCAAGGGGGGATTCCAAAAGTCACTTGGGGGGGGGGGGGGGGTTTCCAATTTTTTTAAGGAATTCATATTTTTTTCAAAAATTTTCAAATTTCAAATTTTGTAAAAGTTTCAAGAAGTAATCTTCAATTGCACAGTATTTTGCAATAGATTTGTAAGATCTTGTACCACATTTATTTTGTGTCAGAAACCTATATTATGTCAAAAATTTGATCACAATCAAAATTCAGACAGTATCAAGCTTGAATATTATATCCAAATTTGCCCCAACGGTTCAGGGTTCGACCTCTGCGGTCGTATCAGGCTGCACTCAGCGAAGCATTTTATTTATTATTTATTATTCCCACTTCCCACAGATCCTACATTTATTTTACCCCTATAATCCACATCTTTAAAGCATATCATCCCCCTCATTCAGCTGTGATTTGATATAGGTGTATATACAAACAAGTGCACACACTGAAATATCTCACCTGCTGTACTTAATCATGATTGAATTTATGTTGAAAGTCTAGTGTATGTGATACAGTATCAAAGATTCATGTAAATCAGTTCAAGGTAAGATGAACACTGTTAGACAGACAGGTACACCTTACAATCATACCATAAACCAAATATAGTTAGCCTGTTGCTTACAGTATCTGTGAAGAAGACCTTATTAAAAGTATTGAACATTGACCAATGAACCATAAAAATGAGGATAAGGTCAGATGAACCCTGCCAGACAACATGTATAAAATGCAATACCGGTAATTCCATACACCAAATATAGCTGACATATTACTTGTAGTATCTAAGAAAAAAGATACAATCATGCAAACTTAACATTGGGTAATGAATCATGAAAAATGAGGTCAAGGTCAGATGAACCAAGCCAGACAGACACCTTATAATCATTCCATACACTAAATATAGAGGCCTAAATGCTTTGAGTACCCAAGAAACAGACCACAAACAAAAAAAAAACTAAACATTGATCAATGAACCATAAAAATGAGGTCAAGGTCATATGAACCCTGTCAGACAGACATGTGCATCTTACAATCATTCCATTCACCAAATTTAGTTACTTATTGCTTATATTACATGTATCTCAGATACAGATTTGACCACAAAAACTTAACTGTGATCACTGATCCATGGAATGAGTTCAACATTAGGTGAACCCATATCTGTCAGACATGCAGACCTTGCAAGGACGCTATAAACCAAATATAGTTATCCTATTTCGCATTATAAGAGTATTTCAAATGACAAAAAAAAACAAAAATTTCAAGCAAATGAGATCAGATACAATTGACATATTACAGATGGAAACCTCGTAACATAAGGTATCTGCATACAAGGTATGAAATATCCAGGTCTTCAACCTTCTAAAATATAAAGTTTTATACAAAATTAGTTAACTCCATTGGTGCTGTCGCCGCTGCTGCCACCAGCGGATTGTAATCCCTATGTCTACTATTCTGTGACTTTCCTTGCAGTCGAGAAAAAAACGGTCTTCCTGAGTAACCCAGTACTATAGAACAAATCAGTGTATTATAGGTAACTGTACGAATATCCCATCAATTATCAAAACTTGTAAAATGAATCTTTGTATAAAGGGCACAAAAATCTCAAGTCTGTTGCTCTTTGTAGACAGGTTTGACTAGTTATACATCCAGAAGTTGCAGAATATTTATGAGTTCGATATGCTTGCCTTCCTACTTTGGAGAGAAAAAATTCATAAAAATTAGTTTTCTTATTCACTATGAGCTGACCTTACAGATATTGAGTTTGATGAGTAGTAATTGATTCAAGTTTCTATTTTATTCTGGTTGATAAACATAACTTAACAAGAGTGCCCTTGCTGAAATATCTTGCCTGCTTAACTGATTATGATTGAAGTTTATGTTGAACGTCTTTAAGATTAAGGTCTAACTACAGGTATAACAGAAACTTGGCATTATCAATGATCCATGAAAATAAGGTCAAGATTATATCAACCGTGAACCCTGTCAGACAAGCATGTACATGTTACAATCATTATATATTCCAAATATAGTTGACCAGTTACTTATAGCATCAGAGAAACAGAAAGTCATACAAATTTAATGTTTGAACCATGAAAATGAGGTTAAAGTCAGATGAACCTTATCAGACAGACATGCTCACCTACTATCTATTCTATATATCCAATATAGTAAATTTATTATTTAAAGCATTTGAAAAAAAAACTTAATCATGTAAACTTAATGATGATCACTGACGGACATGTATACCCTTGCAAAGAATCTATAATACCAAACATAGTTTTATTACAACAGACATGTGCCAAAAGGAACATTACATGATGAGGTATCTGTATATGGACTATGCAGATCTTCCATCTTCTGATATATGATGCTTTATACCAAGAGCTAATGCTGCTGCTGCCATCTGATTGGCATCTGTGTCACAGACACAAGGATAATTTTTTTTCAGAGACAAGTGCTTGTGATCAGTGTCTCACATTCTGAGACAGAAATTACCATTCCACTGTTGAATCTTATGTTTTAAATTTCTACTTCATGATTTTTGTTGGTATAATATCCTTGTTGACCAGCTATTTACAGGAAACTTGACCAAATTTTCAAAATTGAATTCCGAAGAGGCATTTCACTTGGGGGTCAAGTGGGGGCACATATGAGGTATACATTTGATTTTATTGTTTGTTTCTTGTCAGAATTATTGAGTGAATAGCATAAACCTTAGGAAAAATACAATAAAAAGCATAATATTCATTCGAAACTTTGTAACAATCTAAATCAAACTTGACAGAAATGTTCCAACGACACTTGCAAGAGCCTTTTGACAGTGATAACAGAGGTTATTTGAAATGTATTGTGTTTTGGGGGCTATGCACCACAATTTATAAAAGGTCAAATACAGACAACAAAACAAATTTAATTATCAATGTAAATAAACATGTGTTTGCTTGTATTAAATTGAAAATGACCAAAAAACCTGCAAATATACATAGAATAAACCTTACAAGAACATTCTCTTATATACATGATTCAAAATACAAAAATGTTGAGACAGAATGGTATGTACCAAAGCAAATATAATAATCTAAATTTATTCTCCCTTATTATTAGGATTAGGATAAATTTGTCATCAGTTAATACTTCCATTGTCCACAACATCTAGGTTGATCTTATATATTTTGAGAACATCTTTATTTCTTGTAATCATATTTGTTAAAAAGATAGTTTATTACAAGTTTACACATGCCAAATATTCTAACTTTTTTTCTAACAAAATTGAGTCAACATAATTTCTTTATGAAATCAAAATTTATTCTCCAATTTGGATTGAAACAAATCTGTCATACTTTGTTGACATTTTTATCAGAAAAAAAAGATTTTTATTTCAGTTCAGGTAAATAAATCTTCACCCTGCTTTTTCTATGGAAATACTTCCTATGCAATATTTTAGGTGTCAAACAGTAGGATTTTTATCTAAATTGTAAGAGATTAGTTTATCAAACTATTAAACAAGTACTTGTACTCTAAATGTAAAAAAATTCATGCTTCAACATTTTTTTCAGTGGGTCAAATTACAATATGCGAAATGTTTAGAAACTTAAATTTAAAAAAAAAAATTGTCTTCATAAAATTTCATCTTATTCATTAACTAATCCAGTGGTTTAGCCTTATACTAATGGTATCTTCACCAATTTCTGTGAAAGTTCGATGACATCTTTATAATTCAGTGTCTTCTCTTTCCAAGTGTCTGGTATACCAGCTAGGCCATTCTTTAAAAAAAAAACAATACTGGTCAGTCATGACAGGGTTTATGTTCTAAAATAATTCTAAGAAGATACTGTAAATTCAGTAATTATCTATTTCAGCAACTATCCGTCAAATGATAAAAAACAAGAAGATTAATCCCTGCATACAAATTATGTAACTAGTAAAATTATTTTACCCTAACATATTAACCTGTATTTTCACCAATTGATGTGAATCTTGGAAATTTTCTATTTTTTACATTTCCAAACCCACTTCATTAAAGGAGCTCTAGTGAAGCAGGATCTGCTTACCTCCAGAACACCTGATTTTATTCTGTGTGTTTGGTTGGGTTAATACTGCTCAATATTTAGTTTTCCTTGTAGTGTTTTGTTGACTGTTAGCTTTTTAGCCATGGTGTTGTCTGTCTTTTAGCCATGGTGTTGTCTGTCTTTTAGCCATGGTGTTGTCTGCCTTTTAGCCATGGTGTTGTCTGTCTTTTAGCCATGGTGTTGTCTGTCTTTTAGCCATGATGTTGTCTGTCTTTTAGCTATGGTGTTGTGTCTTTTAGCTATGGTGTTGTCTGTCTTTTAGCCATAGTGTTGTCTGCCTTTTAGCCATGGTGTTGTCTGCCTTTTAGCCATGGTGTTGTCTGCCTTTTAGCCATGGTGTTGTCTGTCCAGTTTTCAGTTATTGTTGTGATTTCCCCAGTGTTATACCTTTACCTTATTCTAAGATAAAATATAATAAAATTGAGAATGGAAATGGGGAATGCGTCAAAGAGACAACAACCCGACCAAAGCATAAAACAGCCCAAAGCAACCAATGGGTCTTCAACACAGCGAGAAAATCCCGCACCTGAAGGCAGGCTTCAGCTGGCCCCTAAACAAAAATGTGTACTAGTTCAGTGAAAATGGACATCACACTTAACTCCGAAACATATGAATGAACTAAAATTAAAAAAACATACAAGACTTACAAAGGCCAGAAGCTCCTGACTTAGGAATATAATCCTACCTGAGCAGCAAAACAAGCTCCAATAAAGCCTCCCCTAGAACAGGTGCACCCTCCAGATCTCATGGTTTCTTGTATGGAACCAGTATAACTGGAACCAGTCAGTACCTCATGAGTAGTTAACTGGAATGCACCAGGTATGGCTGAAAAATAGGTTCACATTGGTTAATCCAGATAATCTTGTACAATGTGTAATAATAAATTTATTGCAATACTCTGAATCAAGAGTCAGGAAACAGTCATATTTACCAGACAAAACTGATTCTAATAGGCAAATGTCCAAAATGATCTTTGGGATTTAGTACAGAAGTAAATTCAAACATTTCATTGTGATCAGGTATTTATACGACTGCAAAAAAATTTTGCGGTTGTATATTGGTATGATGTTGGCATCCTTGTCGTCTTCCGGCGTCGTAGTCATCTTCGTCCGGCGTCCTCGTAATTGTCCGGTGTTTTTGTCGTCCGAAGACACATTGGTTTTCGCACAATAACTTTAGTTAAAGTGAATGGATCTCTATGAAATTTTACCACAAGGTTCAATACCACAAAAGGAAGGTTGGGATTGATTTTGGGGGTAATGGTACCAACAGTTAAGGAATTAGGGGCCAAAAAGGGGCCAAAAATAAGCATTTTTGTAACTTCCAGACAATAACTCGTGTGTTAGTGTATGGATCTCTCTGACATTGTACCACAAGGTTCCATATCACAAAGGAAATGCTGGGATTGATTTTTGGGGTAATTGCCTCAAAATTTTAGGAATTAGGGGCCAAAAAAGGGGCAAAAAACAAGCATTTTTCTAGTTTCATGACAATGACTTGTGTGTAAGTGTATGGATCTTTCTGAAATTGAGTTTGGGGGTAATTGCCCTAAACGTTTAGGAATTTGGGGCCAAAAAGGGGCAAAAAAATAAGCATTTTTACAGTTTCCAGACAATAACTTGTGTTCAAGTGTATGGATCTCTCTGAAAAAGCACTGAAAGGTTCCATACCACAAAGGGAAGGCTGGGATTGATTTTGGGGGTAATTGCCTCAAAATTTTAATAATTAGGGGCCAAAAAGGGTAAAAAAACAAGCATTTTTCTAGTTTCAGGACAATAACTTGTGTGTAAGTGTATGGATTTTTATGAAATTGTACTACAAGGTTCCATATCACAAAGGGAAAGCTGGGTTAGAGTTTTGGGGTAATTGCCCTAACAGTTTAGGAATTTGGGGCCAAAAAACAAGCATTTTTACAGTTTCCAGACAATAACTTGTGTTCAAGTGTATGGATCTCTCTGAAATTGTACTGCAAGGTACCATACCACAAAGGGAAGGCTGGGATTGAGGTTGGGGTGATGAATCATAAGGGGGTTCAAAAAATTGGGGGGGGGGGGGGATTTTTTTTTCCTTTTTTCCCCTTTTTTTTTCTTTAAAATTTTCCATTTTAAGTTGGTTATTTTTGATTTATATATAAAAGCAAATAATAATGATATGGATTGATTTCATCAAAAATTGAAATATTGGGGTTCTTTGATATGCTGAATCTAACCGTGTATTTAGATTCTTAATTTTTGGTCCCGTTTTCAAATTGGTCTACATTAAGGTCCAAAGGGTCCAAAATTAAACTTGAAAAATTGAATTCTTGGGGTTCTTTGATATGCTGAATCTAACTGTGTATATATTTAGATTTTGGATATTGGACAATAATAGGTAAACTTAAAATTTTTAAGTTCTTAGACCACATTCATTCTGTGTCAGAAACCTATGCTATGTCAAATATTAATCACAATCCAAATTCAGAGCTGTATCAAGCTTGAATGTTGTGTCCATACTTGCCCAAACTGTTCAGGGTTCGACCCCTGCGTCGTATCAAGCTGCGCCCAGCGAAGCATTTTGTATTATAATGTTATGATGTTGTAGTCGTCGTTGTCGTCCGAAGACATTTGGTTTCCTAACAATAACTTGAGTATAAGTCAATGGATCTCTATGAAATTGTACAAGGTTCCATACAAAAAAAGGAAGATTGGTATGTATGGCCTTAACGGTTTTTAAATTGGTCCACATTGAGGTCCAAAGGGTCCAAAATTAAACTTTATTTGACTTCATCAAAAATCAAATTATCTGGGTTCTTTGATATGTGGAATCTAACTGTGTATTTTAGATTTTTGATTTTGGAACCCGTTTTAAAATTGATCCACATTAAGTTCCAAACTTTCTTTGATTTCAACAAAAATGAAATTCTTGGGGTTCTTTGATATGCTGAATCTAACCCTGTATTTAGAATTTTTATAGTTTTGGCCGGTTTTCAAATTGGTTCACATTAAGGTCCAAAGGGTCCAAGATTAATCTTTGTTTGATTTTAACAAGAAATGAATTCAAGAGGTTCTTTGAAATGCTGATCCTAAACATGTATTTAGATTTTTGATTTTGGGCCCAGTTTTCAAGTTTTTCAAAATCGGGGTCCAAGATTAAACTTTGTTTGATTTCAACAAAAATTAAATATATGGGGATCTTTGATATGCTGAATGTAATCGTGCAATGAGATATTGGATTTTTGACCCCATTATCAATTGGTCCACATTGAGGTCCAAAGGGTTCAAAATTAAAATTTGTTTAATTTCATCAAAAATTGAATTCTTGGGGTTCTTTGATTTGCTGAATCTAACCATGTATTTAGATATTGGACCATAATATAGGTAAATGCCCAATTTCAAATTTTTAAGTTCTTAGACCACATTCATTCTGTGTCAGAAATGTATGCTGTGTCAAGTATTTAATCACAATCCAAATTCAGAGCTGTATTGCACAATTAATAGAAATTGTAAGTAGATTCATAGTTAAATATAGATGCATCATCAAATTTTAATCTAAGAGAAGAAATTATGTATAAATATAGTTTGAAATTTACTGTTCATTATTAGATATTTTGAAAAATAATTAAAGGCAAGTTTTATAGATTTTTTAAAGACATTGTAGTAATGATGAAGTATATTTTTGAAATTATTTTTCATTTTTTTTTGTAACTGTTTTGAAGAATTTCGTGGTAGGTTTGTTTGTTATTCTGTATAAATTGCTAATATTGTCCATAATAAATTATTTAATTAAATTCTTGGTGCACTTGGACAAGCTGTGCCCAGCAGAGCATTTTATAATCATTTTTTTGCCTTACTTTTTGAGTATGGATCCAAAACGTCTGTGTGACTAAATAGCACAGTGTATCTATTTTCTAATACTGTGGATTCGTTATTATTCGTTCGATACCAATTTTCGTGGATTTCGTTGGTACAGAGAAACCACAAATTTAAATGTTCAACGAATTACAAATTTGCTGTATGATTATATGCAGACTTTTGGAAAAACACGAAATCAAATATCTACCAAAATGCAAGTTTTACTCAATCCACGTGAATTGGTACCCACGAAAAAATAAATAAATCCACAGTATCTTTTTTTTAATTTACTTTGTTTTACCTCAGTCAATCCTAAACTTCTTTGCTGCAGTTCTATGATCAATATCTTTGCATTGTAGAACCTCTCTCAACTGTCCAGCTAAAGCTTTATCTAAGTCCTGAGGATTGGTTCTGTTAGGATTACTCAACTCTTCTATCACACACTCCATTGCATCTTCCTTTTTACCATACAATATATACTGCTCTAGTATCCTGTAAATTATACAATAAAGTATTTCCTTTTTACCATACAATATATACTGCTCTAGTAGCCTATAAATTATACAATAAAGTGTACTTTTTACCATACAATATATACTGCTCTAGTAGCCTGTAAATTATACAATAAAGTGTACTTTTTACCATACAATATAAACTGCTCTAGTAGCCTGTAAATTATACAATAAAGTGTACTTTTTACCATACAATATATACTGCTCTAGTAGCCTGTAAATTATACAATAAAGTGTACTTTTTACCGTATCCTGTAAATTATACAATAAAGTGTACTTTTTACCATACAATATATACTGCTCTAGTAGCCTGTAAATTATACAATAAAGTGTACTTTTTACCATACAATATATACTGCTCTAGCAGCCTGTAAATTATACAATAAAGTGTACTTTTTACCATACAATATATACTGCTCTAGTAGCCTGTAAATTATACAATAAAGTGTACTTTTCTAGTATCCTGTAAATTATATAATAAAGTGTACTTTTTACCATACAATATATACTGCTCTAGTAGCCTGTAAATTATAGAATAAAGTGTACTTTTTACCATACAATATATACTGCTCTAGTAGCCTGTAAATTATACAATAAAGTGTACTTTTTACAATACAATATATACTGCTCTAGTATCCTGTAAATTATACAATAAAGTGTACTTTTTACCATACAATATATACTGCTCTAGTAGCCTGTAAATTATACAATAAAGTGTACTTTTTACCATACAATATATACTGCTCTAGTAGCCTGTAAATTATACAATAAAGTGTACTTTTTATCATACAATATATACTGCTCTAGTAGCCTGTAAATTATACAATAAAGTGTACTTTTTACCATACAATATATACTGCTCTAGTAGCCTGTAAATTACATAATAAAATATTTCCTTTTTACCATACAATATATACTGCTCTAGTAGCCTGTAAATTATACAATAAAGAGTACTTTTTACCATACAATACATACTGCTCTAGTATCCTGTAAATTATACAATAAAGTGTACTTTTTACCATACAATATATACTGCTCTAGTAGCCTGTAAATTATACAATAAAGTGTACTTTTTACCATACAATATATACAGTTCTAGTATCCTGTAAATTATACAATAAAGTGTACTTTTTACCATACAATATATACTGCTCTAGTATCCTATAAATTATACAATAAAGTGTACTTTTTACCATACAATATATACTACTCTAGTAGCCTATAAATTATACAATAAAGTCAACATTTTACCATACAATATATACTGCTCTAGTAGCCTGTAAATTATACAATAAAGTATTTCCTTTTTACCATACAATATATACTGCTCTAGTATCCTGTAAATTATACCATAAGGTATAATGAAAACAAACACAGGTAATACAAAAATGTTTTGCTAAGGCAATATATAACTGCACTTATTCTTAATTCTTAACTGAACCATCTTTCTCCCACATATTTAATTTTGCTAAAGCTATACTCAAAGCTTCAGATATAGCAGATGTTGTGTCATGCTTTACTTAGGCATTTTCTTGCACATTTTACCTTGCTGTAGCAATATGTAGCCACAATTAAAAAAATGTTAGCAGTTCTTTCAAAATTTCAGTTCAATTCGAAAATAATTTACATTGCTGCAGAAATACTGATAAGCCACAGAACTGTCAAAATTTCTTATTATCCTGATCATTTATATAGCTTTGATATCACAGATGTTTCTGAATATTTTAAAGTTGTCACTCTAAGTGATCCAACAGCTTTTAAGATGTGAGAAATGTGTTATTCTCATTACTTGGCCTATTTAGACATATTTTAGACATCTGAGTGGTTCTAAACTCATCTTCCATTCACTTTATATTAGTTACCTTGTTGGAGCAAGGCCGACAGACATAGATGTGTTAGATTCTGAGCTTTTCTGATGCAGTGTTAGATTCTGAGGTTGATGCAGTGTCAGATTCTGAGCTTGATACAGTGTCAGATTCTGAGCTTTTCTGATACAGTGTCAGTTTCTGAGCTTGATACAATGTCAGATTCTAAGCTTTTCTGATACAGTGTCAGATTCTGAGCTTGATACAGTGTCAGATTCTGAGCTTTTCTGATAGTGTCAGATTCTGAGCTTTTCTGATAGTGTCATATTCTGAGCTTGATGTAGTGTCAGATTCTGAGCTTGATACAGTGTCAGATTCTGAGCTTTTCCGATACAGTGTCAGATTCTGAGCTTTTCTGATTGTGTCAGATTCTGAGCTTTTCTGATAGTGTCATATTCTGAGCTTGATACAGTGTCAGATTCTGAGCTTGATACAGTGTCAGATTCTGGGCTTTTCTGATACAGTGTCAGATTCTGAGCTTTTCTGATACAGTGTCAAGCTTTCTCTAAGCTAAAACGTTCTTGTTGCACGTTAGCCACAGATGTGTTTCATTTCTATATTCCTAAACGAAACACTAAGCTTTCTATAAACATATTGTATCTTGCTGTACAAAGACTATTAGTCACAGACGAGTAACAATTCCCAGTTACTGTGTTCCCATTTGCAGCTTACACACAACATAATTACCTTGCTGCAGCCAAACCGACAGCAACAGATGTGTCAGAATTCTGTGTTACTCTTATAACACTCTCAGCCTTCTCTAACATATCAGGTCTACCGGCATACAGAGCAACCACAGGAACAATTCTTAGGACACAATCCATCTGTTCATCTTTATCACATCCTGTAATAAGCAAGGACACATAAAATTAACTAAAAGATTTGTAGCCTCTCCCTCCACTGGATACATTATCAAAGTTACATTTTTAACAATTTAGTAAAATGGTTTGCTCATTGTTGAAGGCAGTAAGTGACCTACAATTGCTAGCTTCTATGTCAGTTAGTCTCTGGTGGAGAGTTGTCTCATCAGTCAAGGGAGTTACTTAAATGATTGATTTCTTAAATCACTTATTCAAGTAACATTTTGTCTAGAAATGTTGCTAATAAGAGTAGTCTTTCTTTAATAATCTCCTATTTAAGTAGTACAAATAAATACTAAGTGAATTATTTTATTGTAGCTTTGAAGATATAATGTTAATGATCCTGGGAATAATAATGATGCTAAAATTATCAGACCAAACATCTATGTTTATAAGATGACCAGTCAGGTCAGGTAATGACCCTGTACTAAAACTGGGATAATGACATGAAAATCACTTGTTTAAGTGTCATACATCTATTTTCTCTTACAAATCACTTCTTTAAGTATTACATTTGTATTTTATTATTATTTAGCCCCAACTATTTTCAACGCCTATGAACAGTTAAATTTTGGTTGTGAACAGTAAAATACTTCCACTGTTGGAAAAAATCTGTTGAGAAAGTATTAGATCATTATACATTGTATAAAGCATTTTTTCAACAAATTTAGAATTCACAGATGAATGACCGTATCAAAGGCATAAACCTTGCTACTTTTAGGGTCATTCTTTTCAATTTTACTAATAATTAGATATTAACTAAACCTATATGTTTAAAATTTTGGTAAAACTACAAAATCACAGAATTTCTTATTTGTTACTTAAATTATTTATGTAAAAATCACTTATTTCAGTCATTCCCCTGACTGCTCATTGGCAATCATACCACATATTCTCATTTTTTTATTTTCAATTTTCATGAAAATCAACAAGAAAACAAACACAAAAATAGCAAGGAAAATCAAAATTTGTAGAATGTTTGGTCTGGACTAACCTGTGTCTTCTAACCCCTCCTCATATTTCTTCAAAAATGTTTTTATACTAGCATGCCTCCATCCAGCTTTTATAGGATATACTTTCTTTGAAACATCTGAAAAATAAACAAATTGTACATAAAATCAAAATGAAAGAAGAGATGTAAGGTTTATAAGTCAGTTAGACAGCAATCAAACAACAAAAACCCAGATATCTATATATAGAGGTCAACATTTGACAAAGCTATAATCAGCTGATGAATTTAGCCTTCTTTTATATACATTTTTTCAATTTTCATTTTGCTGCTAAAATAGTACCATAATTTAAATTTTTAGAATAATATTATTTATCAAATATGGAGCAACATTCAATATTATCCAGAAAGTGCTTAGATTATTTTGTGAAGAGATATTGTATGAACTACATTTATAACAGATATATATTCTAATTCTTTTCCATTTTTGTTTTAATGGCAGTATAATAGATTTTGTCATATTCAACTAATTTTCCTTAAAATACCTGATTTTGATTCATATTCTTTGTTGTCTTTGTCATCATAGTCTGTGTTTGGTCCAAAGAATTCATACGTAGATTTCTGAAGACTACGGACATCCAAACCTAAATAAATTGCATAATATTTAAACTTTTTCTGTTTTTCTGAGTAATATGTGGAATTATTACAAATACATGCAGTACATGGCCAAAGTATTCATCTTCTACATTTTTTTGCTATATATTTTCTATATAAAAATACATTTTTTTCCAAAAATACGTTTACATAATATCTAAAGTACATTTGTTTATCTTTTCATAGTTTCCATGATTTTGTTTTCTCCTGATTTGAATATATATATATTTTTTTTGACAATCTAATATGGTTAAAATATATATAGAGCAAATTTCTGAACAAAAAATCATACTTGTGTTTATATCATCAGAAAATGAAAATGCCCCACAACAAAAATATAACCAAATAAATAAATAAACCTGTAACAATTCTGCTTCTATTGGTACCAAGTTGATTAAAACCTAACTATATTAAAATGATCCTACAATTTTTTTTGGATAAAAACTTATTTTATAGCGAAAAGTCCCAAGTGACAAATAATTACATATATATGACCATGCACTGTAACTTCTCAAACGTAATTGAAAATGTTGCCTTACTTAATCATCTGCCATGATTTTCTTTGACCTTCAATTTCCAGAACTTTAACTACACATGCATGAGTACGATACAAAGAAATGACCATACTTGCCTTAATTTTTTTGAGTTTGATGGCAACTTGAACATTAACAATCTACTTCATATTGTCATGATTGTACCCTCACTAATTCTGATATAAAAAATAAAGGTGTTCATTCTTCAGTTATTGTGTTAACTGTGGTGAATTATTGTCTCACATTTACAAAAGTGTAAAGTATTACTTCAAAACTCAAAATCATCATCATCATGAACAACTAATTGGAAAAATGCAAGTTTTTACCATTATTTGAAACCAATGATTTTAAAATGACGTGTGACTGGTCACCATAGCAACTGTGACTTCCTGTTGGTCTGCAGTAGAATGGATTGGCAGATGGTTCCCAGAATGCAATTTCTTTCTCATCTCCAATGATACTGTTAAGTTTGTCAATTTTATAATTCCAATGAAGTGGTTGTGCTGTGAAAAAACATATATCAGTCAACATGTCAGTTGTTGACTAAAATTGTGTTTATTCGGGTTAGTACAAAAATTAATGTAGAAACAACAATAGTAAACAAAGTTCAGAAAGCTGAAGAAATAATGATAGTTATGAATCAAGTTTTTAACTGACATGTACTTTAAACTTTCTGTAACATCATATTTGAATAAAATAAAAGAGATAATCAAATTTGAATTTATTTTCAGTTAAAGTACCATGCCAAAATTGTATATAAAATTTAATCTTTTAATTTACTATTCCTTGACCATATAACCAATCACATTGTACTTTACATTGCACATGTTACCTGCTGCATCTGCTATCAGTGCACCAACCACTGCTGCTATTTTTCTCTCTTCACAAGTCATACCTGCTACATTCTTCCCTGTTGTATAATTGTTCTAAAATTTAACCTTTATGTTTTGTCTAAAGGGAGATAACTCAAAAATAAAATGCCTTTTTTTTTTATCTATTTTTAATAAAGACAAGTTTTGATTGTCTTTATAAATGAAATTATCTAACTATTCTCTGCTTTGAAAAAAAAAAGGAAAAAACACTCAGTCTGTTTAAAGTACTTTTGGTTGAAACATGCCATACAGTTTCTAACCACAAACCATTTCTTCCGGCATTATAAAATTTCATACAGCCATATCAACATGGTTTTATGGTCTTAAAACTCTGGAAATAAAGATACATGAGAACAATTCTTGTTTTTTCTTTTTTTTATATCAAGATTGATTTTTAAAGAGTTTACTGCTTTTGGTAAACAAAAATCCAAAACTAAATGTTGAATTGATTTAGCAGTAGGTGGGACATTTTTATTTTAAAATCTTTACATAAAAAAACTGGCATTCTGAGGGTATTGCCAGTATTGCATCTGCAATACAATGTCATCTATGAACTGTGATGTTTATATTCAATGTGCTTACACTTTTCTATATATGGGACAAGCTGTAACTTGTTACTGACATACGTAGTAGCTAGAGAATTTTAATTTTATTGTTGTGTCATAATATTTGTTTAAAGAAGCAGATATTGCCCACATCTACTGGTCCTACTCAAACCCTGAGGTACCTATTTTGAAGGGATTTTTATGTCTTGTCCTCTGTAAAATTCATACAACTGAAACAAAACTCAAAACTTGATATAGATTACTTTAGGTTTATGTTGCACAACTTTTTGGAATTTTTCGTTTTTTAATGCTATTCAACTTCGTATTTGATTTGACGTTCTACCTTTTTTGATTCAAGCATCACTGATGAGTCTTATGAAGATGAAACCTGTTTCTGGCATACACAATTGTTAGCCGGGTATCTTTGATGAGTTTTTTATCTGTAAAATACTATCAACATATTAACTGTATACCAAATAACCAATTGACTGCTACAGACATTTCTGAGATTTTCAAGATATTTTCTGTTTCCAAGGGTCACAACTTCAACAAAAGTTTTTCAACATGATTTAAATTCAAAGTAGATCTTAAACTGAATATGAAATGACTGTCAATCAAATGTCAAATTAATTGTGTCAGGCAAAACAGGAAAAATTGAAGAAAAAAGATTTTCAAGAAATTTTCTTTTTATAAGGGCCACATGTTCTTTAAAAATTGTTCAGCTGTAACCAAATTCAAACTTGATCTGTAATGACTGGAAAAAAAGTTCTTATTAATTGATTCAGGCATTACAGAAAAAAATGCTGTTAACTGAGATTTCCAAGTAATTTTCTATTTCCAAGGGACCAACACAGAAATGTCTTAACTAAATCTAAATTCAAACTCAATCTGTCACTTCTTTTATTATATTACTGTATACCAAATATCCTGTTAATTGATTCAGGCATTATAGAATAAGGTTGGATAAGTGAGATTTCTAAACCATTTTTAATTCTGAAAGGCATTAACCTAAAAGAAAATTGCCCGACTGGCACTAAACTCTAACTCAATCTATAACATCTTATGATGTGACTCTAAACCAAATATCTAATTTAATAATTCAAGCACTACAGAAAAAATGGGAAATTCCAACCAATTTTCTATTCACAAGGGCCATAACTTCAGCAATTAAAGAACCTTTGTGAGCACGCTCACATACCCCACGCCCCCACATTGTCACTGGGCAAACAAAATCTCACTAGATTCCTAAGTTCAAAGAATCAAAACTTCTACAAAAGTCAACTGATAAAAATTTCTTGTGGATAGGCACATCTACATATTATGTCCTCATTAACTACAAAGTTTCATGAAATTCTGTTGTGTGGTTACAGAAGAGTTGCGATGACAAACAATTGCAGTAGTATATTTTAGGCCAAAATTCTAAGTTCAATGGGGCATAACTCCTAGAATAAAATTGAATCATAATTCCCTGTTGATATGCACATCTATAAAGAATGTCCTTATTATCTACAAAAATTCATAAAATTCTGTTGTGTGGTTTCAGAGGAGTGAAACTGATGACAAAAACAGGAGTGACGGATCAAAAACATTATACCCGATGCAACTTTGTTGCATGGGGTATACAAATCACTAAACTGGTACGAATCTCAAACTTGATCTGTAACTTCTTATGATATGACTCCTATATATACCAAAATTCTAACTAATAGATAGAAGCATTACAGAAAAAAACTCTGTAAAACTTACTTGACAAACAGACAGAATGGCACAGCGCAAACCTAGAGTTCCCTGCGATTAGGCTGGAAGGGAACTTATCAGCCGCTAATAATACTATAAAAAGCAAATTTGATTTCCAAGGAAAATGCCTTTGAAAAGTGAACATGAAATGAAGGGACTAAAACAACTGATGCCTAGATCCAAGTTAACTAAAAATGCTCCCAGAGACCACAACATTTCTCATTCATTTGAAGACAAATGTTTGTACTTAACTGATATAGAAATACTTGTAATATTTCCAGGTTTTAACCCTAAAATTTCTCAACCAACTTACATTAGTTTTATTGACATTAAACAACATGATAAATATAACTCAAGTCTGTTCCCTGTGAAAAAATATGTTTTATTAAAAAACAAAATAGAAGTAAAAAAATGAACAGAACTATCACAGACAATGACTAAATTGTAAATTAAATTAATATAATAATAATCTATTAACCGATCCAAAATAAATATTCTGTTATTTAGATGTGGATAGGCCATTCTTTTTATCATTTCGTATCTTTACAAGATAAATTTTTACATGTATTTCCATAGTGGCACAAATAAAAGAGGTATCTGACCTTTAAAAAGTTCTTAGGTGTTTGTAACACTTGACTAGCAACATAAACATCTATGAATAACATAAACAAATGCCTTCAAAATTTTCTCAAATTTGGGTGAAAATTAACAGTAATCACAAATATATTTGCACAGAGCTTCTATATCTCATGAACGGTATCTAAATAAGTCAAGGGGTTAGGTTCAGCAGTTCATTATTATTTTCAACCTCAAACCTCTGATATTTATCAACTCCCCCCCTCGCCCCCCCAAAAAAGCAAAAATGTTGCTAGCTTTTGAATGAGTGAATTAATTCTAATAAGTAGCAGATGAAGTAATACATTGGTTTTTGAAAAGATCCCTATCTGCTAAATACATTTTTATATCCTGTTTGGGATCAAAAGTTTTTCCAATTATTTTATCCTTACTGGTAGAGATACTCCACTGCTGAATAACCAGTTTCAGAGAAGGAAATATACAGAAAGAAGAAAATGTACAGAAAGTTACAAGAAAAGCTCTGACAGGTTGGCCCTTGGAAAAAATAAGATAAACTATCAATTCCAAAAGTGAGTGGTTAGGTTGGAAGCTTAGAAAACAGAACAGCTATTTAGGATGGCCTAAATTACTTTGTTCTAAAGTAAAATACAAATATTGTGACCTAAAAATCAAGAACACAAAATATACAAATGTTCTGTTGGATAGTTAATCCATTAGTACAAATAATGTAAAACTCAGCTTTTAATGTATGCATAAATTTGAATGTTCATCTTCTACAACCAATATTTATCTATTACAAAATATATAATACAGTTCTGAAATACTTGTTTTTGTAAATGGTAAAGGTCTACAAGTTGTACAAAAAACATCAAATTTGCTTTTCAGTTCAAATAAAGTCTTAAGAATTACAAAAAAAAAATGTTGGATTGTTAATTTTAATGATGATAGACTTATAAAAAGATGCAAGAGTTACAATTATTGTGAGAAAGTGCATCTTATTCTTGCAATAGAAACACTTTGAAGTCATTTAAGCACTGAATATACTAACTATATTTTATTCTGAGAGCTAATGAAAAAACAAATGATTTGGGGTCCTAAAATCAGATTTATTTAAAAATTCTCCAGTTTGCACAATTAAGGAATAAACTATTGACTATAAAAACTTTGCAGTTTGGGTTTTAAATATTTCCCTTAAATGGATAAGTGTTACATGGTATTGCAATGACAATTTAATGTAGAAATTACACAAAATCTTCACTGTTTCTCAAACATTGTAAGAATAATATAATGCACATTCCTTGCCTAAAGAGACATTCAAAATGGAACTGTATTTTATGTTCATTTATTTGCTGGCTTAAAAATCATTTAGGATTAGCCCATTTTGCTACAAAAGACTGACAAATCATCTTTATCAATTCACCTTCGGATGTCACAGTTAACTTGTTTAATTACACCTCTGTTAATGCTTACATTATTAGAAAATTTTAATTCTGAAGTTTAAAATTAATAGTGATTTAAAAGGGTGCTAAACATGTTTATTATTATCAGTAAATATTTTGGACCAAATAAGCCTTAAGATATACATTACTTCTAAATTTTCCAAAAGATGTATAAAATATTCAAATGATGTGCTCAATATGTTTTTTCTTCATCTGTGTAAAATGATTTCCAAACAGTAATCCCCAATCTCAACATAGGTGATGGAAACTTAAATGGTGAAAACATATCAAGAAAAAATTGACTTTCACAACCTCTAAAAAAATCATTTTAAAATCTGCATATAAAATAATGGCTGATAAAAACAATTGTTAACTACTATGAAAAGTAAAATGTAGTATTGGGATTATTACATCTGTAAAATCTAATGCTTCAGCTAGCTCAACATTATAGACCAGTTCGTCAATTGCTGCTGCCTCCATTTGAACACCAGCTCCTAATACTTCTAAATCTTCCTGTACTGCACATGCTCCACTCTCTTCCTGTACTGCACATGGTCCACATGCCTTTGCTTCCCCTGCATTTTGAGCTTGATCCTGAGTTGTCTCCCCTCCTACTTTAATGTCATTACCATTGTTTTGATCAGTGGGTATGCTTTGATGAGTTTTGGAACCATTATCTTTAGTTTTTGAAACAGTCTTTGCTTTAACTTTTGTTGTTTTTCTGACAGGTGGAACTGGTATGTAATGTCTTCTAATTTCTGTTCGTGCCTACAATAAAAAAAAATTGAAATTGATGAAAAATAAAAAGTTGAATAATATACCAAATTGTTTCCCAATAATGTTAACCATACATACAAAATGGTTTTCATAAAAAGAAAAAAAAGAGAAACAAACAAACAATCATACCAATACCCTCTCACCAAAGGAAAAAAAAGGACAAAAAAAAAAAGAACAAAAAACAAAAAGAAGTTAGATAAAAGAAAATTGTTAAAGAATTATATAACAGAAATCAATTTATAAAATTTGACACAAAACCACAAACACAAATTCATAACACATAAAACAACATGTTTTATGAGGTATTGCTCACTAATTATAACCGCTGTCAATCAAGTTGATTATGGCTCTATACAAACAGGATAAAAACATCAAAGGAATTGAAAACTTGTCACATGTTATGACCAGATGAAGCAATTTCTTGTGGTTACTGAGAAAAAGTACAAACAGAACGAAAGGGGCGCACAGACAGATAGACAAAGGTAAACCAGTAACATCGATCATGGTTAGCATTTTTTTGTAAAAAGAGGAACATATTTAAACACTTAATCTGAAAATTCTATCAGTTTATCCATTTAGTTTGCTGTAGTACTATTATGACAAAGGGTTTTAAAATAGTCTGCTTTTTTCCAAGGGATAATCCCAGCTGTTATCCTGTCATGTGGTGTTATGGTGTTGTGAGTGGTTCATTATCATTTAAAAAATGTAACCATCTGAAGGATAAAATCACATCAAACCACTTTACCCTAATCATGATAAAAGATTAATGTTACTGATGGTCGTGGAAGCCATTCTGATGCTTGCTCATACAGAGATCTGACATGCATAGTACAACAGAAGAATAACCTTGACCTTGAATTCTTTTTCGGGAAAGCTTTTAAAATATCTGGTATTTATCAAAACTTTTAGTTCCTCTAGGCAATATTAATTTTCAAACTATTTTCTTACCATCAATTATTTAATTAGGTCTACTTAATATTGTGATTGTACTGAAAAGTTAACAAATGTTTGGTTTCAGTTGTAACATGCTGTTTTTGTTAAACTAGTTAAAAGCGTGTACTCAACCCTTCAAATTTTATGCTATTTTTTAAATAATTTACTTTTAAGCATGAAAGATAGTTATATAATTTACAAAAGCAATAGTGCTTATACTGACCTAGATAGTTCAGATATTTTGATCGGCACTGAAATCAAAGGAAATATTGTTAAATGTTCTCTCCTAAGTGGATTTGAAAAAGTTTAAATTAAAAAAAAATAAATAAAATGAATGCATTAATAAAATGATTTTTTTTCAACTTCTAAGTGGAAGATGATTTTAATTTTTCAATTTATCTTAAGAATATTTTTTACAAATATTTTCATAACTGCTGTATTGTGTATTGATATAAACACCCCTTTCTATACATCAGCATTAGTACATTTGTTATGATGGTGCAGGAAACAAGATTGTCTGGTTTGAAAAATCTATTAGATAATAGATATGGTCAAGTGCATGCTTCTATTTCTCCAAATCAGTCAATGATTGAAGTAATACTTGGACCCATTAAGTAAAGGCTAGTCCTAGAAATCAACCAGCTAATTTTACGCACAATCACTAGGGTCACTTTAATTCTAAAAAATAATAATTCAAAAAAATACTAGATGATAAATGGAAAAAAAAGAAGATGGAGCAACAAAACAATGAACAGAATCTATTGTTAAGAATCTTACCTTTGCCAACTTTTTTGGATCGGGACTTGGATTTTTCAACACAACAAAGTTTCCACCTATAAAAATAGAATTAAAATAAAGAATGTATATAATTTGAAAATCGTGTAGTAATATTATAATAATAGATATAAATCAGTCACCAAAGTTTAATGAAATCTGCTCAAAGCACTTTAAGGATATTGTCCGAAAACTGGAAAATCCCCCCTTTTTTTATGAATAAACTAGTAAACCTAAAATCTGAAATTTATAAAAATCGAAAGGGAGCTTAAGTCAATAGATATAAACAATTCAACAAAGTTTAAGGAAAACTGCTCAAAGCATTTTTGAGTTATTGTCCGAAAACTGGAAAATCCCCCTTTTTGTAACTAATGAATAAAACCCTCTAACTCAAAAACATAAAATCTAAAATTTATAAAAATCGAAAAGGAGCTCATGTCAATACATATACTCAATTCACCAAAGTTTGTTGCAAATTAGTGAGTGTTTTTGAGTTATTGTCTGAAAACTGGAAAATCACCCTTTTTGTTATGAATAAAACCCAAAAACTCGGAAATGTCAAATCTGAAATTTATAAAAAATGAAAGAGAGCTCAGGTCAATATATATAAACAATTCACCAAAGTTTCATGCAAATTGGTTAAAGCATTTTTGAGTTAATGTCCGACATGTTGACGATGGACGGACAGATGGACAATGGTATACCATAATACGTCCCGTAAACGGGAGTATAAAAACTCAGGGATCATCAGAGTTACTTTTGTTACACTTCTTTCTCTTGTTTCTGAAGTTCTTTAGATCATACATCAAAAGCATTGTTTTAGCTTATGATACAGTATGGGTTTTGTTCATTGTTGAAGGTTGTACCCTATAGTTGTTTACATCCTAGACCTTTGGTCTCAGGAAGATAATAGGTCTCATTTGCAATCATACCACATCTCCCTATTTTTATACTATCAATGATCTACCATGACACCAAATTTCCTGAACAACAATACAGAAGGCCCAAGACCACAATTAATGATCCCGCTTTTCGTTGTCCACTAATATAGTTCCTTTTAATTGGAGTGTAGTTTTTCTTAATTTTTTTTCTTTCCCTTCCTCACTCATTTCTTAGTTTTTTTGGGGTGGAAATAAAAGAAGAGAGGTGAAATAAACTTTTGGATGTTGTATTTTAACTGATTTTGATATGGAAAGAGTGATTAGGCCAGGTGCAAAAAGGTGATATTTACAGTTTTCGGAACATCTCTTGACTTGTCCATAGGGGTATGGAGGTGTATTGGCTAAATTTGTAAGAGTCATTGGTTCAATCTTTCTGAATTTTGGATATATTTTTGGACTAGTACTATACATTACACACACACAAAAGATTTGACAAAAATGCAAGGTGCAATTTTTTTAATGAAACAAAAAGTTATAAAGAACTAATAGGGGAATTTAATTGTGGTCTGTGGCCTAAGAGGTGAATTCAGGAAATATTGAATTTGTACTTTGACAACTTCCCTGAATGATCTATTGGTATTAATTTGTCAAACTACATGAGAATAAATGATTTCCACTTTTATTTGATAGAAATTTTGTAGAAAAGTGACATTTCAGCCTACATGCCCAAAATTGAACTTTTTCAGTTGTTTCAATATTTTTACAAAAGTAGCATGCTTACTTTCTCTCTGACAGATTTTTCTGGTTTTTTATTTGTGTTTGTGGTATCTAATGTAGATGTTTAACTCATTTTTGAACACTGAACACAAAAAAAAGTAGATAAAATCAGAATAAGAGTGCAAAATGTGCTGCTTTAATGGTCTTAGTCTAACGGTCAGTATGAAGCAAGTGAAAAATGAGGTTCTATGCACATACAAGTTGAATTCCTTTTAGCAGATTTCACTGAATCTGTATCAAAAGCACTTATTACTGGTTGTTTGACCTTGTCTGTTTCACAGACTACCTACATTTTCTTTTGTTTGATAGCTAGTGGTTAAAATATTGGCCTTTTGAGGCTGAAATTTCATGCCGGTTTTAAAAAGTAAAGTAAATAACTTTGCATCAAATCATACTGTCTACATATATAGTTGAAAGTGACAGTCATGTTACATCCAGGCTCCATGTTTTATCATATCTAAACAAAGATTTGAGCAAAAAGAAGCATATCTCTATCTACCATATCATTTATATGCTTTTTAATATGCAAATGTGGGGAACGACCTAAATTGACAACCTGTTTTTTGAAGCTTGACATTGCTGAAGACCATTTTATTCACATGTGTTATGCTATTTGAAACTTATATTTCCATTAAAAGTACATTTATAACATGTAAAAGGTTTTTTTATAACTTAACAACTTCAGAAAATTGTGGTAAGTGAAAAATATTACATTTCATATAAGGCCTGACTTTATTTGAAAACCTCTATTTTTTGGCACAGGCTCATATAAAATTTACTTCTGGCCATTTTTTATAAGTCTGAAACATGAAGTATGCTATCTGTTGCTTTTAATAGGTGATAACTTATACATAGAAACATTAAAAAATGTAAGTTTTGGTATATTTTGGATTTTAGAAGCCCAAATTTGATAGTTGAAATTGTTCTAATTCAACGCCACAATTCAGCACCCAAAGTTCAGATATAAAAAATGCCACATCTTTTATAATTGGTATCATATGGCTTTGAAACTTTGTAAACTGTTTTATAATACACTAAGCTTAAATCATGCCAAGTTTTATTAGAATTGGTCAAGTTTTAGACCCCTAATAGGCCCAAGACCACAATTAATGATCCCGCTTTTCGTTGTCCACTAATATAGTTCCTTTTAATTGGAGTGTAGTTTTTCTTAATTTTTTTTCTTTCCCTTCCTCACTCATTTCTTATTTTTTTTGGGGTGGAAATAAAAGAAGAGAGGTGAAATAAACTTTTGGATGTTGTATTTTAACTGATTTTGATATGGAAAGAGTGATTAGGCCAGGTGCAAAAAGGTGATATTTACAGTTTTCGTAACATCTCTTGACTTGTCCATAGGGGTATGGAGGTGTATTGGCTAAATTTGTAAGAGTCATTGGTTCAATCTTTCTGAATTTTGGATATATTTTTGGACTAGTACTATACATTACACACACAAAAGATTTGACAAAAATGCAAGGTGCAATTTTTTTAATGAAACAAAACGTTATAAAGAACTAATAGGGGAATTTAATTGTGGTCTGTGGCCAGAATGAGATATAACTATTCATGGCCACTGATGTGCTCTACCTTCAACTTAATTAGCTTCTGTATCATTTGACAGCAAATTTTAACCATTTACATTGCTCTGGTCCCTTTTCCAGTTACTTGGCTTCTGTGTCTTGATTGTCCTGGGTATGCATGAAATACTTGCAACTGGACATTAAGTCAGCAACAATCAATCAATCAATCAATATGTGTCTTTGGCAATTAGTTAATTTCAACCAGGTGTATTTATATTGCTTACCTTCCAGTAATTTTGCCTGTGTGTCTTTAGACAGTAAATCCCAACCAGGTGTATTGATAACTTGATGTACATGGAGCTTGAGAAAATCTTCACATTTTTGGAACAGGAAGGTGATGAAATTGCAAAAATCCTACAATGGTTTTACATTTTTAAAAATAGTTTTTACTAACTGGAGAATACAAATGGAAAATATGTAATATCTACAAAATATTGATGTTGTCATTCATAGAGCTACACAAACAGGTATACACTGAGTTAATGTTCTGGATAATGATAATGAAATAAAGGATTAAAATATCAAGTTTCCTTATTTTTATTCACTCATACATGTAGTAAAATTTTGTATGTATGTCTTTTTTATATTGATATTAGTATAGATAAGATTTATTTCAATTTTTACTTCTCATAATGTATCCATAAACTGTGTTTAACTACAACCACAACTAACATCCTTAATCTCTTTTGTCACCAAAAGTTTTTAAGCATTTCTGATAAATACAAATCCAGACAATCACTTCAGATGCATCAAATCTATAAAACTGTTAATTTCATTAATCTTATATTATCCCAGTGATTGATTTTGGCGGAAAACATCCAACTTACAATGTTCACTGAAACTGGAATGCATTTTTTTACAAGTAGATCTTTGTATGCAGATTAAAAGAAACCTTTTTATGGAGGGCCTATTGTTCCTGATAAAAGTCAGACACCTATCTCACTACTTGACAGGGGCCTCAGTTGGCGAGTGGTCTATTGTATCACTAGCCTGTCACCACTGAGGTTATGAGTTTGTACCTTGCACGTAGCAGGTGCTTTCTATTCCAATCTTAATTGACTAGGATTGTCAGTTTCCTGCTGAAGTTTGATGTTTCTCTCAATGCACTGGGGCTTCCTCCACCAAAAAAAATCTGACCACCACAATATAACCAACAGTGCTAAAAGTGGCATTAAACCCCAACAATCAATCAATCCATCCTACCCTTCCCTGTATATCCTCCTTATCAAAGAGGCGATTACACCAACAATCAATTAATCCATCCTACCCTTCCCTTTATATCCTCCTTATCAAGGAGGCCCTTTAAACACCAACAATCAATTAATCCAACCTACCCTTCCCTGTTTATCCTCCTTATCAAGGAGGCCATTACACCAACAATCAATTAATCCATCCTACCCTTCCCTTTATATCCTCCTTATCAAGGAGGCCCATTACACCAACAATCAATTAATCCAACCTACCCTTCCCTGTTTATCCTCCTTATCAAGGAGGCCATTACACCAACAATCAATTAATCCATCCTACCCTTCCCTGTATATCCTCCTTATCAAGATGGCCCATTAAACACCAACAATCAATTAATCCATCCTACCCTTCCCTGTTTATCCTCCTTATCAAGGAGGCCCATTAAACACCAACAATCAATTAATCCATCCTACCCTTCCCTGTTTATCCTCCTTATCAAGGCGGCCCATTAAACACCAACAATCAATTAATCCATCCTACCCTTCCCTGTTTATCCTCCTTATCAATGAGGCGATTACACCAACAATCAATTAATCCACCCTACCCTTCTCTGTTTATCCTCCTTATCAAGGAGCCCATTACACCAACAATCAATCAATCCATCCTACCCTTCCCTGTTTATCCTCCTTATCAAGGAGGTCCATTACACCAACAATCAATTAATCCACCCTACCCTTCCCTGTTTATCCTCCTTATCAAGGAGGCCCATTACACCAACAATCAATTAATCCATCCTACCCTTCCCTGTATATCCTCCTTATCAAGGAGGCCCATTACACCAACAATCAAATAATCCACCCTACCCTTCCCTGTTTATCCTCCTTATCAAGGAGGCCATTACACCAACAATCAAATAATCCATCCTACCTTTCCCTGTTTATCCTCCTTATCAAGGAGGCCCATTACACCAACAATCAATTAATCCAACCTACCCTTCTCTGTTTATCCTCCTTATCAAGGAGGCCATTACACCAACAATCAAATAATCCATCCTACCTTTCCCTGTTTATCCTCCTTATCAAGGAGGCCCATTACACCAACAATCAATTAATCCAACCTACCCTTCTCTGTTTATCCTCCTTATCAAGGAGGCCATTACACCAACAATCAATTAATCCATCCTACCCTTCCCTGTTTATCCTCCTTATCAATGAGGCGATTACACCAACAATCAATTAATCCACCCTACCCTTCTCTGTTTATCCTCCTTATCAAGGAGCCCATTACACCAACAATCAATCAATCCATCCTACCCTTCCCTGTTTATCCTCCTTATCAAGGAGGCCCATTACACCAACAATCAATTAATCCATTCTACCCTCCCCTGTTTATCCTCCTTATCAAGGAGGCCTATTACACCAACAATCAATTAATCCATCCTACCCTTCCCTGTATATCCTCCTTATCAAGGAGGCCCATTACACCAACAATCAATTAATCCATACTACCCTTCCTTGTATATCCTCCTTATCAAGGAGGCCCATTACACCAACAATCAATTAATCCATACTACCCTTCCCTGTATATCCTCCTTATCAAGGAGGCCCATTACACCAACAATCAATTAATCCATACTACCCTTCCTTGTATATCCTCCTTATCAAGGAGGCCCATTACACCAACAATCAATTAATCCATACTACCCTTCCCTGTATATCCTCCTTATCAAGGAGGCCCATTACACCAACAATCAATTAATCCATCCTACCCTTCCCTGTATATCCTCCTTATCAAGGAGCTTCCCTGTTTAATCCTCCTTATCAAGGAGGCCCATTACACCAACAATCAATTAAACCATCCTACCCTTCCCTGTTCAATCCTCCTTATCAAGGAGGCCCATTAAACACCAACAATCAATTAATCCATCCTACCCTTTCCTGTACATCCTCCTTATCAAGGAGGCCCATTAAACATCAACAATCAATTAATCCATCCTACCCTTCCCTGTTTATCCTCCTTATCAAGAAGGCCATTACACCTGAAATAAAAGTCAGACACTAACCTAACCCAATACCCATCCCTCTTTACCCTCCTTATGAAGGAGAAAATTGCACGTGTTATAAGTCATTCACTAACCTGACTCCATACCCCTTCCTCTTCATCCTCTTTGATCTGTATACAGTTTAGTAACAATGAATGATATGCCTCACATGCTTTGTTGATTGGCAGAGATTTTATCACAACCTCAAATATATCTTTAAGTAGGCTGATCTTGTATCCAAGTCCCTATAAAAGATATTTTTTTATTAGACTGTGAGCCATACAATTATTAAGCAGTTGGTCAAATTTCCCCTCCCCTATAAAAAAAAATATTAAGAAAAACATAACAGCTGCAACTACCTTTATGTTACTGCTTTAATAATCTACAAACATCGAAAACATAATTCAAATACTAAATTTTTTTTAATATATTTTCAGAATATATGTTAATAATATTCTACTACTAAAAGACTTATATGAACCCGAATTGCTCTCCTGAATTTATTTTGGCCAATCAGCAAAAATAGATCTTTCATTAAAACCATAGCAATAAGGCCAAAAATAAAATTTAGATTGTTTGATGTTGCCAACCTACCCAACTAAAAAACAGCCTACCCAAAAAAAAAACAAAAAACAAAGCAGATCCAATTTTTTTTTAAATATTTTTTCCTGCTCTAATGTTGTTTTCTTGTCCAAAACATGTAACAAAAAATACCTACCTACCTACCTACCAAACCCTACAAGGCATAGGTAGGCAACATCAAACAAAGAATTTTTCAAGGGTGGCCTAACATAGGGAACATATCAGGCAATTTTGGTTTCAATTGCTTTATTAGTTTTTTAATATTAAATCCTTGTTTTAAGACATTATTTTAATAGATTTAAAAAATCAGACAATTAAACTATGTTAGCTTTGTTAATATTTGACATCATCACACATAGATAATTTCAAGAAATAATAATCTGTTGACACAAAGATACGTCTCACCTGTGTGATAATTTGACAGTTTAATGCAAAAGTTTTAAGATAAATGACCACTTTTTAACATGTAGACTTAGATTATGCATGACAATCAGTTTTCATGATGAATGTTGAATGGCATTTAATGGCCAGTGGCAAATATTACATTCAAATCAAGACAAGAACATGTTTATGTGACATGAATATGAATCCTGCTTGGTACTGATGTGACAGGCCGAGCCTGATTTTAACATGCTTGTTCACAAGGTAACAGTCTCCCTACCCAGACACATAATTCTGTCTCTGAGCTAACCAGTACTTGCTCTTATTCCTAAATGCCGTGAGTTTAGAGGAGAAGCAGCAAATACTGATTTTTAAGTCTTTGGTTTGATTCTGTTTGGGATTGAACCAAAGACCTCCTTCACTAAAAGTTAGCATACTACCACAAGACCACAGTGGCTATTTAATTTGTTTTTATTAGAATTTAATAAATTCTGGATGAATTCTGACTTTTATGCATATGTACTAACCTTATCCAGTTTATAAAATGCTGAACTTTTTAATACTTGGACAAAATTAAAACTGATGAATTCTATAGCAGAATCATTGAGTTTTGTAATGAGGCACAATAAAGGTTCACTCCATCTCAGCCGTGGAACATTGTGGTTCAAGTTCTGACAATTCAGCAGGATTTCAAACACTGTCTCTTCGTTCTATAATCATAGAAAAAGTAAATTGAGATAAACAATTTTCATAGAGACTGACATTTATCTTGATTCTATTGTATCTCTCTGTCTCTGTACTGTTTTCTTTGTATCCATGATTTGTAAAAAGGAACAATATACCGGTATACTAATCAATAAATTAGTAGGTTACATCCCATGGATATTTTGTAACCACTTCACATGGATATTTTATCAACAGCTGTAGATTGAGTAAACTCAATTAACAGCAGAGAAAAGTGCAATTAAGTTTTTGAGGTGGAAAAAACCCTCACACTACAGAAATTATGTTGTAATGTTACACCATTGTCTCAGTTTAGGGGAGGGTTGAGCACTCACATGTTTAACCCTGCCACATTCTTTATATGCCCGTCCAACTTCAGGTGCTTGCTGTCTGTAATATTTTTTTCCCTTCACTGTTTTGGCATAAATTAGGCCATTATTTTTTTCGTTGGTATTTTACTACATTTTGTCATGATGGGGCCCCTTATAACTTACGATTCAGTATGAGTTTTGTCATGATGGGCCCTTTAAAACTTACTATACAGTATGAGTTTTGCCCATTTTTGAAAGCTGTTCTGTAACATATAGTTGCTTACATCCATATCATTTGGTTGCTGGTAGATAGTTGTCTCTTTGGTAATCATAACACATTTCCCTATTTTTAATAGATGTGTACTAAGTATCAAGTAGATGTGACCGCAATTTCATAGTTAACTACCTTTAACCAAAACTTTAACCTGATGTGAAACAAACAGATGGACACTCAGACCAAAAAACATAATGCCCCCCAGCCCCTCCTTTTATAGACTGAGCATAAATTTTTTTCTCTCTGATTATTTGTAGTAATGGAATGTACTGTCATTGATTACTGTTCATTCATCTCATTGGTGGGAATTTCTTTTTTATTTCAAGGAAAAGTTTTTGTGTTAGATAATATTTTTGTTTTGCAATTTCTTCAGTGAAATCAGTAACTTTTTCAAACTATCTGTAAACAGCTAAAACTCTAATATTCTTGTTTACCATTTCATCCACAGCTTTTTCATAACAAACATCTAAAACTTCCTGTGGTTGTTTTGCCAGGGATTTTGATCTCCACATCTTCAGTATATTTCTGTTGATCCAGTCTACACACCTATCCTTCAGTGGGTCCATACGAAATGCCACAGATATAGTCAAGGCCTCTGGTAACAGTTCTTCACAACCTGCACACAACTAAGTCACAGAAAAAAAGCATTAACTTGTTTTGAGACTTAAAAGTGAAATTTTCCTTTCAGTTAAAGTTGTATATTTAAAATAAGTATTTTAACATGATAATTGAGATGCTAAATATAACGTGTTGCCACAGATTTCATACATAGAATGTATTTGTAAAACTTTAGAATACCAATTTTACACAAAAGCTGTACAAAAAGTAGTATCTCCTCACAATCTTCAATTAATTTTAATGACTGTTAATTAAATTGTATCAGGTGACCTTGACCTTTGACTTGATGTTGACATAAAATAGGGTTATCCAATTTTTTTTAGAAACTATTTGTAATGTCTGATAAGAATTGGATACAGGTAGATCCTGTGATGGCTTTCAGGGGAATCCAGAAAAGTACAAACTTTGTTTGGAATTGAAGTCAGATAACAAACACCTACAGCAACAATACATTATTACATCACAATCTCCTTAAAAAATAGATATGTTCTCTATGGAAACTGTAGTTATGTAGGAAAAAGTCTGTTCAAGCCAGTCAGATACAGAACAGATGGACCAATCTACATACCTTATGAAACATATGACAGTAATCTCTCTTCAGATAACTGACCACTACTGCCTTGATACCTTCTAAACCATACATGTCTGCTGTCATAATAAACTCCTCTACAGCACATGACTCCATCAGGTCTACCACTCCACCATACAGGTATAACAGTAGTTGTTCTACAACACTCGGAGATACTCTATAATACATACACATACAAGTGATACTCGAAAACGCATAAATTTACAAGAGATATCCTAAAATACATAAACATATAAAGGATACTCGAAAACGCATAAATTTACAAGAGATACTCTAAAATGCATAAACATATAAAGGATACTTAAAACTATAAAAATAAACATGTATAGGAAAATTTGTTTTTGAATATTTGGAAATTTTCAAATATATATTCAACAAGAATTGTAAGTTTCATAAGGTGTGAAATTAAGACATCGCTTGATATCAACTCAATTTTGTTAATTTCAATATAAAGGCTCGTTTATTATCAATATTGAATCTTAAAAAGAACAAGGGTTGATATCAAGCGAAATTCAATTCACTCGAGTTAAAATCTATTTTTCTTATGAGAAACATCCTCTTTGTGTTATATAGAAAAGTCAGTAACTCATTGCTCTAGTCTTTTGCATATACCAGTATAACGTTATAAGTTAAGAGAAGATATTTCTATTAACCAATCATAGTGCCCAAAATTAAGCAATACAATCAAATGAATTATTACACAAAAAGCAAAGTAAATGATTAGAATGAATAGAGTGATTGAAGTACATTTAAACAAAAACATGTAAACACATTTAAACAATGTCATTGACAAAACATTACATGTAATTCATATGTCCTGTTCTGGAGTCAAACCATAACATCAACCATTTTAAAACTTTTTGTAAGCTTCAGAACATAATGAAACTTGATGATCATGATAGTTGGCTGTTTAACGTCTAGCAGCATATTAAATGCATATTCGTGACGAGAACATATTTAATATAATATGAATATTAACCATGCTTTGAACGAGTCCAACACATGGAGTATAATTTTAAACGTGCTAGTTCACAAGGTAACAAACAGTCCAAGTATTGGCTGTTAAATTATCATTTGTATCTTGTAAATCCACCACAAATCCTGTCTTTCTCAATTGCAGAAAAAATATTATTTTTAAATCTCTTTTAAAAATAGCTCACCCTTCAAGACTTATATCTGACTCTGTTTCTCTCCATGACCCTCCAAGCATTGCTGCAAAGTAACTGGATCTTGATGACAAAATACATCTAAAACATACAGCACATCAATCTCCATGATAAACCTTCCCTCATTGCAAAAAATAATGGATATTGAATAGCAACCACAAATTTGGCCTACAGAAAATGGCTTGGTGATAAATCATATATTAAAATGAAAACATAAACTAATTGAGATTTATTCTCTCTGTGTGAACAATGATAAAATGAAAATGTAACAACACAACTATTACTTCAAGGATTTGTGAATTCTGTAGGTACACATAACCTGGACTATTTTACAAAGTGCAAAAAAATTATTTGGTTAGCTCAAAATACTGAATCAAATCTTTAATATATTACTAGTATCCATCATTTATTAGCAAAAGTAAGGTCTAAAATTGTAAGGTAACCATCAGCAATCCAAATATAAATTGTTCCTTAAACTACAAGTCTTGTCCATGTGTAAAATATATATACTACTATAATGTTCCTTAAACTACAAGTCTTGTCCATGTGTAAAAAATATATACTACTATAATGTTCCTTAAACTACAAGTCTTGTCCATGTGTAAAATATATATACTACTATAATGTTCCTTAAACTACAAGTCTTGTCCATGTGTAAAATATATATACTACTATAATGTTCATTAAACTACAAGTCTTGTCCATGTGTAAAATATATATACTACTATAATGTTCCTTAAACTACAAGTCTTGTCCATGTGTAAAATATATATACTACTATAATGTTCCTTAAACTACAAGTCTTGTCCATGTGCAAAATATATATACTACTATAATGTTCCTTAAACTACAAGTCTTGTCCATGTGTAAAATATATATACTACTATAATGTTCCTTAAACTACAAGTCTTGTCCATGTGTAAAATATATATACTACTATAATGTTCCTTAAACTACAAGTCTTGTCCATGTGCAAAATATATATACTACTATAATGTACTTTAACTACAAGTCTTGTCCATGTGTAAAATATATATACTACTATAATCTTCCTTAAACTACAAGTCTTGTCCATGTGTAAAATAAATATACTACTATAATGTTCCTTAAACTACAAGTCTTGTCCATGTGCAAAATATATATACTACTAAAATGTTCCTTAAACTACAAGTCTTGTCCATGTGTAAAATATATATACTACTAAAATGTTCCTTAAACTACAAGTCTTGTCCATGTGTAAAATATATATACTACTATATAAAGTCTCATATTAATATATGTAGCACTAATCCAATGTTACAGTAGAACCAATATTTCTTGTTAACTATATTTTACTATAACATATATATATATATAGATTCTACCACTCACTACAAAAGTCTAAAAGTCTGAAAAGACCAGTTTTTGTCTTAATTTGCATGAACTTTTAACTCGACATTCTCTAAAAGTATGACTTGTGTCTTAATTTTTCTTGACAAATTCTCATTTATATTAAATTTGTATGAAATTTACTCGACATATTCTCGACATTCTGAATATGGTCTTAAAATTTCTTGACAAATTCTTGACATTTGAATACTGTCTTGAAATTTCTCGACATAATCCTCGACATTCTTATTTTTTCTCAGTATGGCTTGACATATTCTGAACATTTTGAATCGTGTCTTAAATTTACTTGACAGTTCTGAGTTTTACAAATCATGACCAATATTCATGATATAACTTTAATCTTTATTTCTCTTTATATGATATACTGTTGTTTCAAGTTACACTTCTTTACAACAAAAATAAAAGTTGGGCATGTAAAATAATTGAAAATTTGGGTATATAAATATTTTTACAAATGCAAATATGGCTATGAAATCTAAAGTATAAAATAATTCAAATGTGGGTGTGTTGATATAAAACAATTTCAATGCGGGTTTTTAAATAATTACAAATTTTGATTCCTAAATCTTATAAATTAAATGATTCAAACCAATCATACTGTAGACATATTTCATTCTACATTCATAATATTCAATGTTGATATGGTAAATAATTATTATACCAAAATGTGGTTTATATAAATAGCAAATTATGATGATATACAAATCATTCATTTAACAGAAGAAAAAATTGTGTAATGTCATCTGTTGGAATATATTAAGTATTACACATGGACAGGATGTTCCCCATAAAATTAAGGTATTCCACACCCCAGAGTACACACAACTGTCAAATAGAAGTTATTGCTTTACCTGTAATCAGCCATACAACTTATCAGTTGACCGACCATGCCACTACAATTTAAAAAGTTAATTGATAGATGAAAATGAAAATCATCATTTTGATGAAAAAAAATTGAATTGAAATGGATTTTCTTCATCAAAATTATGAAGTTAATTATTTTAACATAAAAACAAATTGAATAATTCCCAAAGATTAAAAGAAAATTATTATCTACTCCAGGAATAATAAAAAAAAATGTATTTATAATGGGTCCCATCAATGATTTCTATAGAAATCATCGGTCTTATGAAATGGTTCTCAAACAGACATTCATAATATAGATCTAAACATTTTTTTCTTTTCAGGAAGGAGTTATCACAAATATTTATTTTTGATAAAAAATTATAAAATTCAACACTCAAATTTGAATAAAAAATGTTTTTGGGTTGTTCTAAAAAATGAATAAGGTTTTTGAATCAAGATAGGAACAAATTCTTTGACCTAAAAGAAAGCGGTATGTCTAAACACCGCTCAGGACCTCCTGAGTGCACTGAGTCAGGACATACAAAGTGCACTCAGGACATGAAATATATGTTTTAGTGAGTGGTGAAGGTATGCTTTCGATAGATAATTTAATTCTTTATCTAATAATTTTTGTTTTGATAAAATCATTTTAACATTTAAGGAGTTATTGAAGTTTTCATCGGCACGCACCATTTTTGTGAAATATGTCAGGCATGACCGAGGATTATATTGAATACCAATTATCATGTTGATTAGGTCGTTTGATCTTTAATAATTAGGAGTGATTAGTGATGGTACTTACCTCATACAAGTAAGCTTGGCATACAAACAAAACCAAGATGTCTTTTGAAAAATAAAGAACAATGAAGATATATTGTTTTAGAAAAAAACCGTTAAATAAACATTTTTCTTTTTGTTTGTAATACTGAATTGAAGCCATCGAGAAATATGAGAAATCTACATATATAGTTGGGAAATTTTCATTCAATTCATTCCATTTCACTAACTTAATAGAAAACAAAAATATCGTTATTATTTTCTTTGTATAGATTTTCGTATTTTATTAAAATTTCGTGCAATAAAAAGTTTAGTTTTATTCTTAGTTCAAAAATTAAGAAGAATAATTCTTTCGTATTTTCATATCTCTAGATATATTACAATAGACTTTAATTGCATTGTTCCATAGTAAAAAAAAAGAATCGGTGAAACACCATTTATAATTTACTTTCAAGCTAACAGTTAATCTGATCACTCACTAAAAATAGCGTTGAATTAAAAAAAAAATATTGGTATCATTGCGTTCTAATTCTTATTTATATAATTGTGTGTGTGTGTTTTGTTCTTTTTTCTTGTCTTTGAGATTCATTCAAATAATTAACACTTTTTGACCAATGAGAGGCTGTGTATGTATAACATAACGATTCAATCAAAATTTCATTTAGTTTGATTTATTCCCCTATTGAAACTCGTTCTTGTCCAGTAATAAATCCCTTGAACGAGTTTGAAAAGGGAAATAAATTTGTCATACTTTTCATGAATTAAGATTTAGTTTTGTAAATGGAACCCGTTCTTAACTGTAGAAGCCGTACTTGCCAAACTACGCTTTTCAAATAATCAAATCTCATATAGTTAGTGTTCTTTCTCATTTTTATCGTTCTTGTCCAGTAATTTCTTTCTTTAGTAATACCCTTCCCTTTTCACGAATGTGACTTACCGAATTAGACTATTTACCGGATTTGTAATAACATAAGCAACACGACGGGTGCCACATGTGGAGCAGGATCTGCTTACCCTTCCGGAGCACCTGAGATCACCCCCAGTTTTTGGTGGGGTTCGTGTTGCTTAGTCTTTAGTTTTCTATGTTGTGTCATCTGTACTATTATTTGTCTGTTTGTCTTTTTATTTTTGGCCATGGCGTTGTCAGTTTGTTTTCGATTATGAGTTTGACTGTCCCTCTGGTATCTTTCGTCCCTCTTCTTTAACAAATCCGCATTTAGTAAGATTTATCTTTCTCATTAAAGTTGTGTCTAGCTGTAATACAAGCCTTGAACGAATTCCAATGTGAAAATAAATTCTGAAAAAATAATTTGTCTCCGTTTTCTGAAAATTATCATATTTGGGTATTATTTCTAAATAATTTGTAAGTAAACGAAAACCACGACTAAGTCTTCGTGCACAGAGTTTCAAGTGCCAAAACCCCATAAACTTGCTCGTAAGCCAAACCAAAGAAAAAGACCAAGGACAGCACGTACGCAGCCAAGATATTAGACTTAGCAAATCATATAAATAAATACTGGTCTGTCTTATTAAGGTTAAATTCTAAATATTGTCATTGAAAATATAGGACCAGTTCATAATTTCAATAAATTTGTTATCTATATCAAGGCTGTGAAAATCTTGAATAAATTTTGAACATTCATGAAAAAGGTTATATCGAATATCGTCATAAAGTGTGCATTCCATAAGGAAATGTTTTTCAGTCTCTACACTGCAACTTTCACAAAACTTAATAACATCGTGTTATTCATTTTAAACGTAACACAGTACTAACAACACAATTCATAAACAACAATAAAGATAATCCAATCAATTTTGTTGATTGGATAAATCACGGCTCAGTAGTTGTGTAATCAGTGACACGTGCCCTCATTATTTCATAAGAATTAACATATCTATCCAAGTTCGATATCAAATTCTACCAAAATTTAACTCTTAAATGAGCAGCGTGTAACAAATATATTCATCCATCCTGTGTGCAAATACGATGACTATAAAGGGTCCTGAGTGCACATTGTATGTCCTGAGTGCACTCAGGAGGTCCTGAGCGGTGTTTAGACGTACCCAAACGAAAGCCCCCCTCCTCTTTTTTTAGCCACACAAACCCAAAAGATGAATTGTGGGGTCCAAAAGAGATACAAGACACCTATTTTAGTAAAGCAAATTTGACTGGCAGTTTTGCGAACGGCAAAAACCTAAATGCTGTTTGTCAATACCTTCGACTTATATTCCAAGTGAAAACAATTACTTAAATGTTTAATAAAAATAAATCAAAATTAAACTACATGGGGGATTATTCAGGGTATTCCAACTTAGTTGCACCAAAAGGGTATCTTACTATACCAAATTAATCCTTGATTCTTCAAAGTTTAGTTTAGCCATAATAAAAAGGAGTATATAACAGCAATAGAATGTCATAAACAGTGCAGAATAAGTCTGTTCACATTTCAGGCGAAATTTATACTGTTGAGATAGTGTCAAGACATATTTAAGACTGTCAAGAATGTGTCGAGACATATTCAGACATTATTTAGAATGTCAAGAATATGTCGAGACAAATTTCAGACATTATTAAGAATGTCAAGAATATGTCAAGACAGATCGAGACAAATTTAAGACAGTCAAGAATTGGTCGAGACTAATCAAGACTCTTATCAGATGATACAGGAAGTGTCGAGAAATTTTAAGACAATGTTCATACTGTCAAGACACTTGTCAAGAAAAATCAAGAACCTTATTAGACAAATTTATACTATGTCAAGAATTTTTAAAAATTATTCAGACAAATTAAGAATGTCGAGTAAAAATTCATGCAAATTCAGACAAAAACTGGTCTTTTCAGACTTTTTGACTTTTGTAGTGACTGCATCAAGTGTTATACGATATTTATAAAAATTTAATTGTCGAGAGTGGATAAATATCTTATTGCACGAGATTTGGAGGTGGAATCTGTTTCTATAATGATTTTTAGATGATATACAGACGATATTAATCTTTGTTTTCGAATGATCTGCAAATAAAATGTGTTTTTTCTATGTGACATCATCAGGCACGGTCGCCTTTTTTCATGATGTCACAATAGGAAATTCAGAGGAAAGCAAGAAAATTTGACGTCATAATTGAATTTTGACCAATAAAGAACTGAGATCAAATGAACCACAAGTTGATTAAATAAATGGGGAATGTGTCCATGGGACACAGATGATGCTCCCGCTTGTATATCATATAAAGTTATAAAGGAACATAAATGAAGAACGGTAAAAGTGACGCTACCCAAATTTGTACTTGATCTGAGTACAAAGTATTGTGTATAAGTTTCATAACATTTGGTTGAGACAAACTTAAGTTAGAGAATGGCAACGAAAAATTCAGCAATTTTTCCATTTGTAAAGGGGCATTAATCTAGAACAGTAAAATTGACGCCACCAAAATTCAAAGTTGATCTGTATCTTGTGGTAATAAGCATTGCATATAAGTTTCATAACATTTGGTTGAGGCAAACTAAAGTAAGAGAACAGAAACGAAAAATTCAGCAATTTTTCTAATTGTAAAGGGGCATAACTCTAGAACAGTTGAAGTGACGCCACCAAAATTCAAATTTGATCTGTGTTTTGTGGTTATAAGCACAGTGTATAAGTTTTATAACATTTGATTGAGGCAAACTAAAATTAGAGAACGGAAACCAACTTTGGGAAGGACGGACGGATATACGAATGTACAGACGAACAAGGGTAAAACTTAATGCCCCCTCCTCTATGGTGAGGGCAATAAACAATATACAACAGGTCAGGAAAAGGATAAATAGGGTAAGAATTAGAGAAACTGGACTCCATTGTATATGTACATGTATTAGCCTGTGTAGGTGTAGGTTTTCAATGTCAGATTAGCAATTATAAATACTTGAATTAAATTCTGCATTTACAGTATTCTACCTGGTAAAAACAAGAGTGCACATACTGAAATGTCTCGCCTTCTTTACTAATCATTGATATTATGTTGATAGTCCTAAATATAAAGCTTTATTACAACTGACACATAAACTAAACATTGACCAAAGAACCATGAAAATGAGGTCAAGGTCAGATGAACCATGCTAGGCAGGCATGTACAGCTAACAATTCTTCCATACAACAAATATAGTTGACCTATTGCTTATAGTTTAAGAAAAACTTAACAATGAGCAATGAATCTTGAAAATGAGGTCAAGGTCAAATAAAACCTGCGTGACTGACATATAGATCATAAAATATTTCCTTACCACCAAATATAGTTGAACTATTGCATATAGTATTAGAAAAAAAGACTAAAACTCAAAAACTTAACTTTGACCACTGAACAATGAAAATGAGGTCAAGGTCAGATGACACTTGCCAGCTAGACATGTACACCTTACAATCATTCCATACACCAATGAAAGAACCTTAGTGAGTGCGCTCACATACCCCACGTCCCCACATTGTCATTGGAGAAATAAAATAAGTGTAAGAAAAAAAATTGTACTAGAAAAAAAAATTGAGTCAATATGCACATCTACATAGTATGTCCTTATTATCTACACAGTTTCATGAAATTCTGTTGTGTGGTTTGAGAGGAGTTGCGATGACAAAAGGTTGCAGTAGTATATTGGGCAAATAAGTTCAAAGGGGCGTAACTCCTGGAAAAAAAATTGAATCGTAATTTCCTGTCGATATGCACATCTACGTAGTATGTCCTTATTATCTGAAAAGGTTTCATGAAATTCTGTTGTGTGGTTTGAGAGGAGTTGCGATGACAAACTGTTGCAGTAGTACATTAAAGTAAATAAGTTCAAAGGGGCGTAACTCCTAGAAAAAAAATTGAATCGCAATTTCCTGTCGATATGCACAACTACATAGTATGTCCTTATTATCTAAAAAGGTTTCGTGAAATTCTGTTGGGTGGTTTGAGAGGAGTTGCGATGACAAGAAACAGGACTGACGGAAGGACGGACTGACTGACAGACGGACGGGTCAAAAACATTATACCCTCCGCAACCTGTTGCGTGGGGTATAAATATAGTAGACCTATTGCATACAGTATAAGAAAAACAGACCAAAACACAAAAACTTAACTATAACCCGTAGCCATGAAAATGAGGTCAAGGTCAGATGACACCTGACAGTTGGACATGTACACCATACAGTCCTTCCATACACCGAATGTACTAGACCTATTGCTTATAGTATCTGAGATATGGACTTGACCACCAAAACTTAACCTTGTTCACTGATCCATGAAATGAGGTCGAGGTCAAGTGAAAACTGTCTGACGGGCATGAGGACCTTGCAAGGTATGCACATACCAAATATACTTATCCTTTTACTTATAATAAGAGAGAATATAACATTACAAAAAATCTTTACTTTTTTTTCAAGTAGTCATTGAACCATGAAAATGAGGTCAAGGACATTGGACATGTGACGACAGAAAGTTCTCAACATGAGGCATCCATATACAAAGTATGAAGCATCCAGATCTTCCACCTTCTAAAATATAAAGCTTTTAAGAAGTTAGCTAATGCTGCCGCCACAGGATCAATATCCCTATGTTGAGCATTCTGCGACAAAAGTCGCAGGCTCGACAAAAATATACAACAGGTCAGGAAAAGGATAAATAGGGTAAGAATTAGAGAAACTGGACTCCATTGTACATGTACATGTATTAGCCCATGTAGGTGTAGGTTTTCAATGTCAGATTAGCAATTATAAGTACATGAATTAAATTCTGCATTTACAGTATTCTACCTGGTAAAATAAAGATAAGATAAAAAAAGTTATGTATGATAATGGAAAATATACAATTCATTATTGCAGAACCTTTTCCTGTAAGAATTATGGGTAATTTCATTGTTCGAGCACTACAATGGAATAAGGTAACACCTTTGGTCTGGTAGCTTTTATTTAGAACATTGTTAAGCATTACAATATTTTGGTGTATGCTATGGAAGATATGATCTAGAATGCAATTAACTACTGAAATGATAAATTGTAAATACTGATAAATGTGATTAATCTGATCTATACACTTTGAGATGCCCTGGAGTGTACATTGGAAAAACTTACTTATGAACTTTGAAATGGTCCCCAGAAACTATAACTTGACAATCTGTGTGGATCTCCTGAAGATAGCCCCTCAATAAATCTTCTCCAACTCTGTTACAAGTTTCATAAGGTAGAGTCAAGCCATAGGACAACTTAATCATGTCAGAAAATGATGATTGTGTATCATTTAACTCCCCTGACTTCACACATTCATTTTCTATTTTGCTATCATTGTGGATACCTTCTAGATTGTTTACATTGTTCAAACTATGAATAGTCAGGTCTTCTTCTGAAGCTTCTCCAAGTGTTTGTGCACCTTGTTCTTTAACTTTGGAAGTGGTTTCTTTTTGACAAAGGTCTGAATCTGCCATGTCTGCATGATTTTCACATCCATTATTTGTGATATTATTCTCACAATTTTCAGATTCTATCGTAATCTGATGCTGGTTATTTATCTTTTCACAACCATTAGATGCTACATTTTGGTGCTGAAACAACAGTGACTTGAGGTAGTCCATTAGAATTTCGTCTTGTTTATCAATAGTATCATCTAATGGTTCTGTTTCAACAAAATATAATTTCCTACAAAAAATAGAATAATAAAGTAACAAACTTATTTTGCAAAAAATCAGAATGTTTTGATGTAAACTCTTGAGTAACAAGAACCAGAAGTGAAAGAAAATTCTTCATAAAAAGTTTTTTGTTTGAAATAACATACCACCAATCAGTAAAGTCAATGCATTCCTCTCTTTTTCAAAGAAATAAATAGTTTATGTCTTTGAATTTCTTAAGAGAGCCACTATTGTGAACTATTGTGAACACCTGGGCGACTTGATATCAGGAAAGCAACTTTACACCCCAGTCTACCGCTAGTGTGAGCCCTGATTACATTTGACTTCAAATCTGAAAGCTTTAGACATAGATGAACTGTATAGCACTTTAAAATGCCTTGAATTGTACATTAAAAAAAACTTACTTTGAACTTTGAAATGGTCCCCAGAAACTATAACTTGACAATCTGTGTGGATCAATAATAATTCTTTATTTAAGGATGTTTGCTACTCTTGTTTTTGATGTTTTGTCAGATATTAGGAATCCTCTAGTGTTAACCATGTGGTGCCATTAAAAATTTTGCCCACCAACCCCTATTTTTCTTTTCATAATTTTATTAGATATAGATTAAAAAGCCATATTTGAAAATCTTATAAAATCCTTATTGTTTTTTTCAAAGTTTTTGAAAGAAAAAAGGTGCCAATGTTAAATGTATGAAAAATCTAAAGAGAAATTTTTCCCGCCAAATTTTCAATGGCCTATATCTCGTAAGCGAGCTAACGGACCCTGCATTTTTTCTGCTTTTTTAGTTCCTTTATTTATTTACTATCAATTTATAACACTATTTTAAAAAGCTTGTTATTTTGAAACAGAGTAGCGAACATCCTTAAATAGCTATAAAACTAATCTTTCCTGAGGATCTCCTGAAGGTAGCCCCTCAATAATTTTTCTCCAACTCTAGATCTGTTACATGTTTAAAAATTTTAAATTAAGAGAACATTTTTATTGACCTAGTTTTAATGTTGTACCTGACAGACGAATCTAATTACATAATAATAGTGGTATGTAATATGTCATCTCATAGTATTTCATCAAAATATCTAAAGTCTATTTTAAAAGATGAAAAGATTTTGACCCAGACAAGTTGGTTTGCCACAAAATTTTTAAAATTAGAAGTATTTATAAATTTATAAATTATTTCTTTTGCCTATCTTAAATTATGACAGCAAAGAATAGAAATGTAAAATTATTCATCAAAATCTTGATCTATTTAACATCTGTTCTATCTTTAACAATTACATTTATATAACTAAAAATGTTTTGTGGAACAAGAACACGTTTCTCCCAGTCTTATAAAATTTAGAGGAATTCAGTCTGTATCAGAGTCATTCAGATAACAGATCAATAAATATCACTGTATATTAGGAGGGGAGGTGAACACCTTTTTCGGGACTTGGGGATTGGGCCTTTATATTGCAGGAATTCAGGAATTGGCCTTTATTTTCACGGGAATTCAGAATTAACACTTATCAGGACTCTGGAATCAATGATTAATTTTTTCAGGATCCTGGAAAGAATGTTTCATTTTTTTTTGGAATTCAGGATGACACCCCCCTCCTACCGCCCCTCAATTAGAACTGGAGTAATAAAAGTATGGCAAATGTCATCTCACAGTATCTCACCAACATATCAAATATCTAAAATATAAATGTCATCTCACAGTATCTCACCAACATATCAAATATCTAAAATATAAATGTCAAAATATGAAAAATTCTTGCCAAGAGAAGTTTATTTGCCACAAATATTAGCACATTTATTTTTAACTTCAAGTCAAAGTTCAAAGGTCATATTTAAGTGATGATGGTTTTTGTCATATGCTTTCACAGTGATACATCCACATGCAAAAAATATCACATTTGTAAGTCAGAAGGTATGAAAACTATGGCTCAGACAAGATTACTTGCCCAAAAAGTTAATCATTTGACCTTGAAGTCAAATCTAAAATGCTGATCATGAAAGTATTCAACACATTGTCCAATGGGGATATGCCAGCAAACCAAAATATCATACACTAGTAGCAATATTTGAGTCTGAAACGGTCATTTTGGTCTGATCAAGTCTTAATCGACTGGATTTACTGCTAGAGAAAAACGTCAAGACTTTTTCAGACTTTCAGACGCTGTCACGATATACCGTGTTAAGTCCGTTCAGTCATGTTAAGATAAACAAGACAGATTGTTCTTGCATCCGATTAAGACTTGATCAGACCATGTTCAGATCAAATCAGACTAAAGGTAAAAATGCTGTTTAGACTTTGTAAGATCGTGTTCAGTCGTGTTAAGATTTTAAATATTCGGATGCAAAACGGGCGACACTTTCTCTGTGTTTATTAGGGGTTGTTTCCCTTTCGTGAATAAAATCGGAAAAGAATGGAGGGTATTCTTTTGTGGTCTTTTAATGTTATGTTGTATGTCTATTAATTAAATAACGTTTGCAAAGTTGCAATTCATTTTTTTCCGATGTTATTTCACGTAAACATTTAATTGGTTATATAAGAAAAGAATAATTGGTGTAACCGGAAAAGTGTGCAAGTCATAAAAACTTTGCAGTCGTGCTTTCTTGCATTAAGTAATTTAGTATGTATTCGTTCCGTCTGTAAATATATAATGATTAGTAATAAATATCAAAAATGTTCTTAAACACATTTTCGTCTGTGATTTAAAATAATTGTTCTTACCCATATAAAATTAGTCAAGGAAAATATATTCTGAGTATCTTATTTACTTTATATTTTTCTAATTTTTGACAGATGACAGATGTTTGGTGAAAGTTATTTACATTTTAATATACGGATTAGCTGAGCATTCAACCGAAACGGACTGTCAAACACTATCTTAATAATCATAAATACCCGTGCAACGCTGTGAATGTTTTATCCATGGAAGTTATGTGAAATATGTTGCCATGTTTTATCATATATAAGGATACACCGGATAAAATTATTACATTTACAAATTATACAACATTATTTCAAAATAAATGCAACAAGAATGCAGCATATTTCAAAAATCTAGGTAACAGTTTATATTTAGTATAGGTACCTATAAAACCCGATTTTGATACTTCTCTGACCGTTTTAAGCATCAAGTCTTTTTTAACAAGAACTAAAAAAAAAGATTAACTATATTATAGAAAAATATAACTTAGAATAAGTTATGAAACAATTATTAAAAAGAAAATGTACATAATTATACATCTAGTTTACGGTTTATATTTCTGTTTCGTAGCAGATTTGTTTTATATAGCACCCGTGTTACTTCTCATTTCATAAACAAAATGTCAAAGTGGCTTGGTGCTTAAACGGCTTCATGGTGCTTCAAAAAACATATCCTTCTAATGATTAAAATTTAATAAATCTTCAATTATCAAGGCTAATGAACAATTTCCCAAACTGTAAAAAGAAAATATGTAATAAAAAGTAATTATTTCAAGATTTGTCTCTTATATAATCAATCAATTGTCAACAAATTATATGTGACTTTTTGTCCTATCAAATTTGTAACTTTCTGTCCTGTGACTTTCTTTCCGCTGTCCGTTAAAAAGGACCTCCCGCACTCAGGGAGAGAAAACTGCCGAGACTACCAATGCTAATTGTTAGATAGAATAATAAGTACATCAGTCATTCTCAATTTTAAATTTATAATAATCAAAATATGCATGCTGGTGCTTAAAAAAATCTGTTTCAAATGTTTAATTTAAGGAATGCTCTGATTTCAAAACTTAAATCTTCCTCTGTTGCTTTCGATTGATATCATTTGCATATCATGTAATATTGTTCGCTGAACATTCAACTATCTTAGCCAAGCATGTGCACTTCGGAATGCAATCTATAGAAAAATTTGCTACTCGTCTACAAAAAAAAACACATTTATTATTTCTTTTTTGCCATCGAAATTCCTGATAGATATGTTTTTTTTTATCTATCTATCAGGTAAATATCAAAAATGAATCCAGAGTTTTTCAAGTACATTGACGGTTGTGAATTAAGGATTAGTTACTTTATGGAAAACTCATTTACCTGAATGGTAATATTATCGTTAGTCTTTCTTTTAATAATTTGATAATTTTTCCTCTTTTGCAAATTATAGATAATGAATAAAATGAAAATTTGTTTTCGATTGCACTCAGGCAGAGAGAAACATATTTTTTTTTTGTTTTATTTCAAATAATTACGGAAGATTTTTAGTACGGATATAAAACAATTCTTAATCTTTTCCAATTTGCAAATATAATTCGGTGGGTTTTTTTTTTTTTTGCACATGGTTGATGAAAATTGTATGATCTAACTTCTTTCGGAGGTCTGTTAAACCTTGAAAATATGACAATTCCGTGAATCACACGTTGCTACATAGAATTCTTGCAAAATTCAGAAACTTGCAGTACGGTTATATTTTATATTTTCTCCGTTGAAAAAGAAAGTGTTAAAATAAGAAGGTGTAAACATGAAAGGGGGAGGGTTGTTACACGACACGTTCTTCGCAATTTATTGTTGAACGAATAGAAGCTTTCTTACTTTTTTCAAATATCGAATACACAATCAAATCTCTAACTTATCAATTTTTGCAGTAATTGTTTTATTGACAGGTTTCTGGAGGCATTTGATTGGACATCAGATTAATGTAGGCGTGGGAATGTATCACTTTTATCCAATCAGCTGTCTTATAAAACAAACCTGTATGCGATGATGCTTGAACATTGTCGGCATAGTTTTTTTATAAAGAATTCTACATTAAAAGGATATTGTTGCTACTGTGGTCTTGTCATATAAAAATAGACAACGCTTATACCTATATACATATATATCTTCCACTGAGTATATTCATGGCTTGAGGGAAAGAAAGCAATTAATTAACTCGATAACCGTTTCAGTTTGTTATAAACTGATTGAAAAGTTGAGTTAAAAAGTAATCAAACGGAACTCAAACTGTTTGAGATGTGGGTTACACGTCAATATGACAGCAATCGAA